CGTGTGCGTCTCGCCGGGAATGTGATGCGGGCTGGGAATCCTGCCGGGCCGGGCCAATCCCCTGCCGGGCAGCGGAGGCCAAACAGCAGCTCCAGGGGTCTCCATCCCATGGACCGGCCCTCTGGTCGAGCAAGGCTTCGAGGCAGCTGCTCTCCCTCACAAAACCCTCTTTTGCATTGACAGCGCTTCTGCACCTTGCCACAAGTCGAGTAAGTTGGATGGGAAGGGGCCGGTCCTCAGCTGGGCACTCGGGCTCTCCGCTGTGGTCCTGCCTCGCTCCCGCTGGGAAGGCACCTGAGATTAAAGCAGCGCCAAAGGCTATGGAGCTGGATACAGAGGTGGCTGAGGATTGCTTGTGCTGCGCCTGCCTCTCCATGTATTTGATCTCTCGACTTCCAGCAGGGACTGAATTCCTGTGCTGGATTCTGGGCTCGGCTCTTGTGAAAGGATCCAATTATTTTAGAGCTTTGAGCATCTCCATTTGCTGCCCATATTTGCGGCGCGCTGGCTGGAATTCCAAGTGATTAACGTGGCTGTGACATCCCTCCTAGGGGTGTTATCTTTGCTCGCTGTCCCCCACCGCCCCCCTCTTCCTCCTCCGGCAGCGAGCGAGCGAGACAGGCAGGCAGAGACAAAGGTCTGTCCTCAACCTGGGCTGTCCTCCCCTTAAGCGGCTGCTGCATGGGATTTCCCTGCCCTGCCTGCTGCAGGTTTCCTGGGCTCCCGGTCGAGCACTGGAGCTGGGCGGCCGTGGGCTGTGTCGCAGAGGTTTGAACCTGCTGGGCTGGGGTGGGCAGGGGGTGCTGCCGGCCTTGGAGAGCTGCCCGATTGTCCTGCCGGATTTCAAGCTGCTTTTCATTCTTTGACTGCGCTTTCCTGGGAAGAGGGGCAGCCGTGCGTGGAGGGGAGGTTGGCGGGGAGGGGGTTGGACGTGGGGAAAAGCTTTACACAGGTGTCTGTCGCATAGTGGGATCTGCCTGCAGAGCCTGCAAGCCCCCCTTCCCGGCCGCAGGCTATTGTCAGCATCGCCGTGTGCGAGCCAGGCACCTGGGAAAGGTGTGCGGAGGCAATCCGTGCCAGGACGAGGGGCATCAGAGGGAAGGGGTAAGTGCCTGGGCTGGGAGCTCTGCTCCGGCTCCCCCAGCTCCCAGGAGAGGTTTCATTGTGTTATCCTGACTTGGCCGAGCGGAAAGGCTCAGTCCCTGCGGCACCTGAGCGTGGTGCTGGGGCTGGGGGGGCACTGCATGGTGCTGGGCAGAGCTCAGCCCTTGAGGAGGCTGCTGCAGCTTGGAGCCCCAGCAAGATGCCCCGCAGAGAGGGCTGCTCTGTCCCTGGGGGCTCCTGCACCCCGTCGGTGCTGCCTCCCGAGGGATGGGAGGGAGCAGCAGCACCTCAGGGACACGGTGCTGTGGGCACAGGGAGGTGTCGGGTCTCTGTCTCTGCAAAAGCTGTGTCTGGTTTCTAGGAGCTTGCACTTGTGACGTGGGCAATACCTCTTGCTCCATCCTTCCTCTCTGGGCTCAGGCTTCCTCTCCATTCCTAGCAGGGGCTAGCACTGAATGAAGCTCTGCAGCTGCATAAATCTGGCATGGCAGGAGGCCTCCTGAGAACCCTCGAGAGCAGCATTTGCCCTTGCAGTGGGGCAAGGAAGCTCCCTCCCTCTGTATCCACTCCCCCTCCCTCTCTTTCTTCATCTCTCTTGTTTCTCAAGTGTCAGCTCCTTCCTCCCCAGCCAGAATTCCAGGATAGTGCCAGAGCCATGGGCAGTGGTCATTTTTCCCTTCAGGCACAGTTTGCTCCTCTAGCATCTCATTAGTCAGCTTCTCCCTGGGATTGCCACTTCTGCTACAGTGCTGGAGGTAGTCCCCAGCCTCACGTGTCTGGCTCTCTCCTGATGGTGAGATGCCTGATCTTCAGACTGTGCAGGAGCCCTTCTCTGGTGGCAGCATTGCTGTTAGTGCTGCCATCCTTCAGGGTTGTGACAGAAACTTTCTGCCTGCTGGCACTTCACAAGCTCTGCTCTTAGCCTGTGCCAGGGAGCTCCTGGGTTTGTGCTCACACTGCTTAGATTTCCTTTCTTCTCCTTGGGTTCAGATAGGACCAATAGAGTAATGATTTGTTCTCCAGACAGTCTGTTTCCAGCAGTTTCTATTGCCTCTTCTCTTGCCTTGTACTCTGCTTGTTCTGAGGATGATTATTTGGCCTCTTCTAATGATGGCCCTTCTCCTTCCTGGCTGTGTGGTTCCTGCTTCACACCCAGTGAGGCCACCAGTGTCTCTCCACAGCACTTCCCATAAGAGGAAGCAGGAGAGAAGGCAGCAAAAGCCACTTAGGCATTGGTTTGGGGTTTTTTGTGGTCTAAATTCTGCAGACCCCTCTTGGCCCTGCCAGCCACCAGGCTGGTGCTCTGTCCCAGGCAGCAGTGCCCAGGTCAAAGCTTCTTTCCGCTGGCATGTGTCCCTTTTGACTGGATGGCACTGCTGCTCTGGGAAGCCACTGGATTTCCCCTGGACAAGGGTGGCAACTTTGGGCACAGCTCTCGATCTCTTCCTTGCACTGGTGCTGTGCTACTAGCCCTGCCAGGCTCCCAAGGGCTCTGCCTCATGACAGATAACCTCCCTGCCCCACACTTGTCCAGCTTCCTCTGTGGCTGGCACAGTACAGCTCAAACAGCAACAGCTCCTTTTGCAGGCTGCAGCCCTGCATGTGCTACTGCTGCTGCATTGCCCAGCCAGGAACCCATCCTCACTCGCCATCCTCCTCTGGTGCCTCCAGACTGAGACCATGGTCTGTTAATCCTGGTTTCCCCCTGGATGTGCTAATGGGAATGGAGCCAGCAGGTAAGCCACTGGGCCTGGCTGTGTTATTCCACTGGTGGCTTGGTGTCCCCAAGGAACACAGGGTTTCTGCCCCAGTGCCTGGGACATGCTCCCTCTCTGCAGGTCATTTGGCACTGGGTATTTCTTGGGTGTTGAAGCATGGTGCCCTTCCCCAGGCAAAGAAATAGAGGAAAGCTGTGCCTGGCATAGCTCCAGATCCAGGTGCTGGGAGATCTTGGCAAAAGCATGGGGCCCTGCCTGTTTTCTGAGCAATGAAGGGGCCTTGGCAGGAGCAGGGCAGAGCTCCGAGTGGGCTTCCCTTAAGAGGCAAAGCTCTTTGAGTCTTATCTTAGGGCACCAGCACAGACTGAAACACTGTCCAAAAAAAAAAAAAAAAAAATCAGCATCATGTGGTCTTAGGAGGGGCCAAACCTTGGTATGGGCACATGGAGCTGTGTCCACAGGGATGGTACCTGTGCTGCTCAGCTGAGCTGGTGAAGCCCTGGGCCGGGCTCTGTCCCATCCACGTGGCCAGAGTTAGGGCTCTGGCAATGCCTGGCTCAAGGGCAGGAGAAGGCAGAGGTGACCAGGTGCTTTCTGCCTGTGCCTGCTTGGAGTGCAGGAGGCCGTGGTCCCAGGGTTGCTGTTCTGTTGGGAGGTGGTGGGCTCCCTTGGTGCTGTCAGAGGCTGAGCCCTACTGTGAGCTGGATAGGCTCTCAGCAGGGAGGAACTGCCCTGGGAGGCACTTGGCACTGCCAAGAGAACCTCCCTGGGATACAGCCCCTTGCATTTTGGGGAGGGTGAGAAGCAGAGCTGTGCCCCAGCTGCTGCCCATCCCAGGCTGTTGGGCATTCCTCCCAGAGGATGTTCAAGGAGATCTCAGGATGTACTTGGAGACACTTTGGGTGATACTTTCCTGTCCCTGGCGTGGGGCTGGCATTTTCCAGCACGATGCTTCAAACAATAGTATCTGGGCTTGGCAAAACGTGGTGCCAACCCCTTGTTCTAGTGGCTGGGGCTGGCAGCACCTGGTGACTGGTGTTGAGAGCTCAGCTGGGAGGGGTTTGTGGTGCTGGCAGGTCAGCCTGTCCTTATACATCCATTCTCCTGAAAGGCAGCTGTTGCCAGGGAGAAAATGGCTGTGACTTCAGTGGGACACGGGGAAGAGAATGAAAGGACGCAGGTGAAAATTGTGTGTTTGTTCTGGCTTGGACACACTCTTTCTTCCACTGCACCAGGCTGATTCTTGCTGTTGGTTGCTGATTTTGCTTCCCATTGGTTGATAGTGCCACACAAGTCATGGTACAAGTGTCCCTCAGAGATGGAGGAGGGACACAGCAACCTTCCAGGCAGGCAGAGCACAGCATGTTATCACTTCAGCATCCGCCCACAACTGAGGGCATTCACTTGCTTTCCTATCTGCTTCGGTGCAGACCTCATGGGGTGCCAGGAGGAGCTGTTTTTTCTGTTCCTTACAAAAAGCTTTTGTTGAGGTTTTAGACCTATGGTTTGTCATGCTGCAGCACTGATTTACCCTGCTGCAAGTGCTCCTTGGGTGCAGTTGTATTGTATCTCAACAAGTCCTGTTCTGGCTGGTTGCTGGCAGTGCCCTTCTCCAGCAGTGGTGGTGGCTTTTGAGCTGTCCAGCTCTCAGAGACTGGTCATGACAGCCTGTAATTACAAATCTTATTGGAAATGTAGTGAAAGAACAGCCTGTTTTCTGGGGCAGGTGAGGTCAGGCAGCAAGCTCAGCTGATGCTGGCTTCCCACGTGCAAGTTGCAGGGATGCAGAATTTGCCAGACCAGACCAGGATGCCAGAAGGGGATTGCACTTGAGTGTTGCTGCCTCTGAGCATCCATTTGGGGTTTTTGTTTATCTGCCTGGCCCTGCTGTGTCCAGCCTTTAGAGCAGTACTCACTGCTGGCTTGGGGTGCCCACACAGTAATGTCCTGCTGGATGGGTGCTGCAGTGAGTCCCCATTTGAGGAATGCTTGAGGAGGGAGGTGGGGAGGGCATGATCCCTAGGGATAGGCACGATTTTCTCCTTTAGCTGGAAGTGCCTGGGCTGTCTCTGCCACAGAGGTGCTGAGGGTGGAGGTGCCCAGGGGCTCCTGCACACTCTGAAGGTGTTGCACCATGAGCTGCTGCTTCAGTTGACTCTTCTCCACACCCTCTTCCAGGCATCAAAGCTGTAGTGCCCGTGGATTATGACCACAGGAGAGCTGTGTTGCATCTGCAAATCTCTGTTGTGCATCAAGGGCACATCTGAACAGGTGAGTGCTGTGCACATGAAAGGAGTGCTGTCTTTGTGCTGGGGAAAACTGGTGGGGGGCCATTACGGCTCAGGGCTGTCAGGCTCCTCATTTCTGCCTTCCCTGACAGGCATCTCATATTGGAAGAAAACAATTCCAAGCTCTTCTCCTTATCTGTAGGGCCAGAAAGTGTCCTGTGCTGTGGGTGGAAGGGGGAGGAGGTGAACATGAGACCAGGAGCTAGCTGGAGGCCCAGAGGTTGCTGCAGTGTCTTGGAAAGCAAGGCGTGAAATGGTCGCCAGAAAGAAAGAGGAATCTGTTCCTTTGCACAGGGTTTCATACAGGAAGGCATGCAAAAGGGATGTAAAATCAAGCCAGGTATGAGAGTTCACAGCTTAGCTTAAAATATTTGTGGTTTAAATGGAAATCAAGGTGTTAGCACTGCCTGAGGTGGCTGAGATGTATGTGGCCTTTGATTTGGGAGGCTGGGAAAGGCTGAGCCTAAATGCTGCTTTCCCTGCCTGCGTGACCCTGCAGACAGGAAGCACCCTCCTGCCCTTCTCCCAGGAAGCATCTGAATCACCCCAGCCCTGCATCTGCCCCTTTCCTTGCCCTCAGAGCCACCGTGGACACTGAAGAGCTGGAGAGGACGTCGCAGAGGTTCGGAGGCACACCGTGATGGTGGGAGCCATTCCACGGCAGCCACGCCGCTTCTGGGGGGTGCCTGAGTGGCAGGCGTCCTCAGCGAGCTGTGCCAACAACCACCTGCTGCAGGGCACCCAGGCTGACCCAGACACACGGGGTGAGCCAGTGTGGGGGGCAGCCAGCAAGGGCTGCAATGGTGGGGGCTGCACAGAGGGGCTGAGGTCAGCTGGGACATCTGCAGGTTATCTAGACCAGCCCCACCTAGAGCCACTGCCCAGGACTTTGTCCTGATGACTTCTGGATATCTCCAAGGACGAAGATTCCGCAGTGTCTCTAGATAACTGGTTGTAGTGCTTGGTCACAGTTAAACAAAATGGTGTTTTGATATTCAGAGGGAACTTCTTATCTAGATATCTAGATGAGATCTCACTGAGCCTTCTGTTCTCCAGGCTGAGCAGTCCCAGCTCTCACAGGACACATGCTCCATTCCCTTAATTTTTTTAGTGTCCCTGTTTTGCACTCTCTCAGATGTGGCCTCACCAGCACAAAGCAGAGAGGGAGGATCAGTTTGCTCAACCTGCTGTTATTCCTGTGCCTGGTGCACTATTGTTTTTCTTTGCTGCAAGGGCATATTGCTGGCTCATGGTCAACATGGCACCTACCAGGACCCTCAGGGCCTTTTCTATTGTGCTGCTTTCCAGCCAGTCAGTCCCCAACATATCCTGGTCCATGGTTATACCTTTTATCACTCCTTTTAAACAGACTCCCTGGTCTCAAGCACCTTGGCCTGCCATTTTCACGTCCACATACCAGCAGGGTCAAAGTAGCATATGCAGGCTTATTCTCCACATAGCTTTGATCCACTTGGAGAACAAATTTCTCTATTGCTCACTTGCCCCTAAGCCCTTGCTCCACAAGATCAGGCACAGCTGCAAAGATTGGCAAATGGCAGAGCTGCCAGGCACGTGCAGTTTGTCCTCAGTCTGCAGGTGACTGTTCCTGCATCTCCTCAGCTCTTGCTGCCATTTCAGTATTTTTCATGCCTGAAACAAGCCAACATGTGGACAGGATTCTCACAGCTCTCAAACCAGACTGAAAATCAAAAGTGAGGCACCATGCTGCACAGAGAAGGGCAGGCCCGTGGAGCTGGCAGGAGTGGGGGGATGGTGACCCTGGTACCTCCCAGCTGCTGATTGAGTGCTGGAGATGCCTGGTCCAAGCTGGGAGAGGTAACAGGGACGTTAGGCCAGGTTCCTGTCCCCACTGTCGTGGGGCTGGCACCAGCCCTGCCTCATTCAGTGCACGTGGCCAGGGCAGGATGTCTTGGCCAGCACTGGGAGATGCTGCTGCTCTTGCCCAAAGGGGTGATTACAGGCCTGAGCCCCTGGGACTGGTCTGACCTGCCTGACTCCTGTGCTGCACAACAGCACAAGCGTGTCCCTGGCAGAGGGCAGGGCTCTTCCTCCCCGCCTGTCCAGACTTGTCCACAGGTGTATCCTGCCTGTTTGGAGACTTCTCTCCTTGCCCGAGCCAGGAAGTGCATGCTGAACCTGCAGTTGGGTGATACCTCAGGGTTTCCCAGAAAGGCACATCAGCCTCATTCCTCTTCCTGTCCCTGGAGAGGAAGATTCAAGGGAGCTGTGTAAGGAGCCATGTCCCAGTGGGTCCCTTGCAGCCAGAAGCCTGAGAGATCCAGGGCTGATCCTCATCCTTCTGCTCTCTTTTTTTCCAGATGCCATGCTGCAGAGCACCTCATAGTAGAGGGCTCACACAGAGATCCTGAGTGAGAGGGGGCCCAGCTCCCACCCCCTGCCCTTGCACCCTGACCTGTGGCACTTTACAGTCCCCCTCCTGCTGCTGCATGGGCTCCGCTCGGAGTCCCAGCAAGTGAGGCTCCATGCGGCACATCCACACAGAGACGTCTCTGCCCCCGGAGCGCAGCACGGAGCCCAGCCTGTCCCGGCCCAGGGGGGAGACACCCTTGGAGCCTTCCTCGCAGTGCTGCACCCACCGCAGCATCCTCATGGGCTACAATGAGACAGAGATCAAGCGCCAGAAGGTTTACCAGGTGTCCATCTTCTCCCATCTCTCCAGCTCCTCGGAGAGCACGGAGCAGCGGGCAGGCACCCGGCCAGCTGTCAAGAGGGGATACCCCGAGCAGAGAACTCCGGAGGGGGGGCGAGATCCCAAACGAACTCACTGGGGTGACAGGGGGGTGGATGGGGGCTCTGGGCAGCCTTCCCTGGATGATGACGATACCTTTGAGGATGGTCTGCTGGTGGAGGAGCTCTCCCTCTGTGGCTCTGCCCAGCACTTTTCCCACAGTGGGCTGCGGGTGGTGGAGCACCGCTGTGAGGGCAGCCCTAGCCACAGCCCCAAGGCCAGCAGAGAGGACAAGTCGCAGGATGTCTCCTTCTCCTCTTTCTCCTCCTCCTCCTCTTCCTCCTCCTCCTGGCCCCGGCACATTGCTTGCAGTACTTTGCACATGAGAGACAGTTGCCCTGTCTCATCAGGGGATCAGCCCATAGACTATGGAGAGAATGGGGAGCCGGCAAGTGGCCACAATGTACTTCACCTTGAATTGCACAGTATTGCACAAACAACCCAGTTGGACCCTGGTGGGAAGAGAGAGAAGCCAGGGAGCAGCCCAGCTCACAGCAGCAGGGCTGGCGAGGCAGAAGGGCCAGCAGTGGCCAATGGGTGCAGGGAGTCCCCAGCACAGAGAGCGCTCAGCCCCGAGCCCAGCAGCCTGAGCTCCCAGGAGATGACACCCTGTGGGAGCAGCCAGCTCAGCAGCACCTGCCCAGCCAAAAGGAAGTTGCTGCCTGCTGGTGAAGTTATGGCCGACTCCTGCTCTGAGGATGAGAGCCTGTCCCCACCAGCAAGGAAGAAGAGGGTCCTGCCATGCCATCCTGTGCCCACAGCCTGCCGCAGCACTGATGCCAAGGGAGCTCCGTTCTGGAATCACCTGCTTCCTGCAGCCAAGGTGAGCATTGCTCATGGGGGGAAGCAGGGAATGGCCTGGGGATGCCCAGAGCTCAGGACTGTGCTTGTGGGCAGTGTGGTCCACCGTGGCACACGCCCTGTCCTGTCCCTGAGTTGCAGTACTGGTGTGAGCAAGGCAGCAGCTGACAGCCCTGGCACACATGGTCTGTTTTAACCAGCTCTTGACATCTTGTAATCACTGGATCCTCTGCCTACAACTGGCTTTTTCTCCTGGAGAGGCTTGATTGGACAGGAGACAACATCCCCATGCAGTGAGAGCTGGACATGCCATGATGCCACTTTTGGTGTCTGATGGCTTCATGTTAAGCCATGACATACCAGCAAGCTTGGGAGGAGGGCTGGCCTCTGCCTGCCTGATGAGGAGGAAGGCAGATGTGTGGGATGGCTTGAACTCCTGGCCATGATGCCCATTAGAGCAAGTGACCAGTGGCAGCCAGTGGGACTGAACATGCTTTGACCAAGGAGCTCAGTGCTGTGTACAGAGATGCCACTGGCTTTTCTGTCATTGTGAGGTGCTTGTGGCATGTTCTCAAAGTGCCACGAGCTGTCAGCAATGGTGCAGACACAGGTCTGCAACCCTCCCTAGCAGCTCAGGAGCTGCCTCTGATTCCCTCTTTGTTACCCTGCCCTTCTGATCAGCCTCCTGCCCTCACTCTGTCCTGACAGCTGAGGCTGTAGCAGGCTCAGGCCAGACCTGGCACCTTCTTTTTCTCTGGGGCATCCCATGGTGTGGGGACCCACAGGAACAGATGTCAGAGCTACCCTGGCTTCCTGCAGTTGGAGCTGGGACACACCATCCACGGCACACAGCTCCATTGCTGCCTGCCTTTTTCATGACTGTCCCCCAGCCCAGCTGCCCCCAGCACTGTCCTTGCAGAGTGAAGCCCTCCAGCAGCTTCCCTGGGTTTTCCCGCCCGGTCATGCCAGCCAGCTCCATCATCCCTTTGTGTTATGCTACCCTTTGTGTGGCTTCCAGAAGGGAAAGCCCCTGAAAAAGGGACGTCTTTAAAAGGAGGCTGCAGTGTGACTGTGGCTTTAACCCCCCACCCCACAGCTGTAGGATCCTAGCTGTGGGTAGGGGTTGGCAACACACCTCTCTGCCTGGTGGCACTGCTGAGAACTTTGCATGAATCACCAGGGGACAGAACTTTTCAGAAGCTGGTCGGGGAGTGTCCTTGTAGGTGTCACCAGTCTCTGGGAGGTGTAAGAGGGTGTCATTGCATGGCTCTGTCTACAGGTGTCTTGCCACTGGAGCTGCTCCTGAGACCTGCTTTGTAAAGAAGGAACAGTGTGTTGTACCCTTGGGTACCAGCACCCTCATTCCCAGCTGAGCCACTTCAGGTTTTGGGCAGCCCCATTTCCCCACCAGACACCCCAGTCCTTGTGCTGCTCTGCTGGCCACTCCTCCTGAGGCCGCTGTCCTGCCCAAGGACAGGAGCCTGTTCCATCTGCTGGAACCTTCATGGGAATGTGGGGCAAGGCAAGGGACAATGGCACCTCCCAGAGGTGCATGGGCCCTGGTTGCTGCCCTAACACAGTTCTCCATTTCGTGTCCTCTGCAGAGCTCTTCAGATTGCACTGCGGTCGGGAGGAGGCTGAAGAGTGGGCTGCGTCTCAAATCGTGAGTGTCCTGGCAGCCCTGTGGGATGGACGTGGGGGCTCAGGGTGCCTGCCCACCTCAGTGCCCTGCAGCACCATGGGAGGTTCACCTTGGGCTGAGTCCCTGCCCTGCCCTGGCCCATGTATCTCCCCTCCATAAGGCCACAGATTGGGAGTGAGGGGTGGGTTTTCTTCTTCTGGGAAGTAGGAAAGTAGCTTCAACCTCTAGCAAGAGTATAAGGGGACCTGGAGAGGGATCCACATTCCCAGGGACATGAGCAACCCAGGGCTGTGTGCTCTTCAGTCCAACACTAGTCTTCTCTCCTCACTGCAAGGCGACATTTCCGGACCAGCCTCCGGAGGAGCACCAGGTCCCCCACAGTGCCCTGGGCCACCACCACTGTCAGCCATGCTCTGCTGGGCAACTTTGAGGTAATGGTGCCTATCTGCTGGGGGGAGGTGGGTCCTGGGGGCTCCTTGCAAGGCTAGCAATGAGTATGAGAGGCTGAACCTGGTGGGAGCCCTGCTGTGGGGCTGGGCTGATAGTCTCCAAAAGGCCTGGAGTGCAGTCGCCACCACACAGCCCCACCAGCAGCATGGCTCAGCCAGCAGATCCCTGGGTGGAACCTGCTGAGATAGGTGCTGTGAGACTGAGCCGAGGCACTCTCACTGCTTCTCCTTGTTAGATGGTTGGTGTTATCCCAGCAGTTCAGGGTGGGTCTGTCTCAGAGGGAGGTCTCTGGGCACACACAGCAAGCAGTCAGCTGGGTGCAGTGAGGATGGGGATGGCTTCACCTGGAGCATTGAGGCGGGGGGTAGGGCTGGTGTTTGAGATTCCCTAACGCTTCCCTCCCTCTCAGGAGTCCATCCTGAAGGGGCGCTTTGCACCATCGGGGAGGATCGAGGGTTTCACGGCAGAGATCGGTGCCAGTGGCTCCTACTGTCCCCAGCATGTCACCCTGCCTGTCGACGTCACCTACTTCGACATCTCTGAACACAGCGTGCCCTCGCCTTTCCTGGTATGTGGATGTGGGGGAGCCGGGGGGCTGTGCCCTGACACCCTGGGGCAGCCCCTCACTCTAGAGGGTGGCTCAAGCAACCACCTGCTTGTGGAGGTGGCTGCTTGTGCCAGGAGCAGTCTTTAACCCAAAAAGCAAAAAGGGAAAGAAGAGGGAACATACACAGACCCTGCTGCTTCATGGTTGTCATTGTCATCACCTCTCTAGTCACCACCTCTCTGTTTCTTCTCCTGGTTTGGAGAGGGGCTGAGCTGGGGGTTTTCTTGTTGACTTGTGCCACGTGTTCCCAGTGAGGGAGTCTCAGGCCCATGCTGGTTCCCAGCTGGGCTTTCCCTTGGCTTTCTCCCTCTCTCACACTCTGTTTCTTTTGCCCCAGGGAGTGATTGACTTGGAGGCCTTGGGAAAGAAGGGTTACAGTGTCCCCAAAGCTGGAACCATCCAAGTGGTGAGTCATTCCCTGGCCTGCAGTCATTCCCTGGCCTGCACTGGCTGGTTGGGCTCTGGTTGCCCTGCTTGCAGGAGGATATGCTCCATGATGTTTTTAGGCAGGGCCGCAGCTGATAGGGGTGTCTCCAGCAGAGAGGTTACGTGGCCACCAAGATAGCATAGCAGAGGGGAGCACAGGGTACCTAGGGTGCTGTCAGGGAGACAAGGTGATGGGAGAATCAGGGAAGGAAGAGGTGGGTGAGGGTTTTGGCAGGAAAGTGCTTATGTGCAGTGGGGATGGGATGTGATGGAAGAGGAGCACAGGTGTGAAGGTGGGTGGGAGGAACTCACCTATGGCACTCAGGCTAAGCCCTCTAGGACTTGTGTGGGGCTTTCTTCATCCTTGGCCCAGCAGCTTCTGCTCCCAGATGCCCCATCTCTGCCCTGCATCCTTCGCAGTCTCACCCCCTACCCCTCTGCCCCCAGACCTTATTTAACCCCAACAAGACTGTGGTGAAGATGTTCTTGGTGACATACGACTTCCAGGACATGCCGGCCAACCACATGACCTTCCTGCGCCATCGCATCTTCCTGGTGCCCGTGGGGGAGGAAGAGGGGTCCACAGTGGCCCCCAGTGACCCACTGGGCACCAGCCCTCCCCGCAGGGTCCTCTGCTACCTGATGCATCTAAGGTAAAGCATGCCAGGGGCACAGGCACCTGCCCCAAGGTCATCCCTGGGCTCCTCTCTTGTCTTGTCCCAAGCCTGCAAGAGAGGAGGAGGGAGTGGGGAGGAGCAGGGAGCAGCTGCTCCTTTGGAGAGGTTGGAGCTGCCACCCTGCCCAAGGGCAGCTGTCTGTGTCCCTCTGAAGGCAACCAGAGGGTGGCCACATTGACCAGGGGCCAAAGCAGTCAAGGGGGTTGTGTCCTCACTGAGGGTGCCCTGCCCTTGCCTGGGGAGCCTGAGGTCCCTCTGCCCTGCTCGTCTCCACGCAGGTTTCACAGCTCCAAGTCAGGGAAGATCTACCTTCACGACGACATTCGGCTGCTTTTCTCGCGCAAGTCGATCGAGGTGGATTCGGGGATCCCCTACGAACTGAAATCCTTCACAGAGATGCCGCGGAACCCCTGCTACTCACCCCGGGCCTGACCTCCTTCACTCCCCGCCCCCAGGGCCACTGGGGAGCCTCCAGCCCTGCACGCTGGGGAGAGATGAGTAAAGGGCCAGCAAGCACTGCTTTGAGATATCAGCCACCCCTCCTGACCAGCACGGACACCACGCTCTGCAGCAGGGCTGGGATCACCCAGCAGGCTTCACCAAGAGGGGCAGGGGCTGAGGAGCAGCCCTGGCACCCCAGGGACATGCCCTGGCACCCCAGGGACATGCCCAAGCCTTCTGCTGGCACTGCTCCCAGCTTGGAGACTTGGCTGTGGCTGAGGTGGGTGGGTGTGGAGTGAAGAGTTGGACTGGAGCTGTGAGTTGAGGCCACCCACACTGGTCTCGGGTCTGGGAGCAGAAAGTGTGGAAGAGTTTGTATTTATTAGTATTTATTGTTGCTGGGAGCGCAGAGGGGGCTCGTGCAGAGCACCAGAGGTGCTGTGCTTGTTCTTCCCCTCAGCCCTGCCTGTACCAGGCTGCCTGTGTTCGGGCAGGGCTGTGGGGACTGTGAGGCCTCAGCCCATGGAAGTTAGAGTGACCCAGTGCCCACACAGGGCGCAGCTCCCAGATCAGGGACAACTCTCAGCCCAGTGACAGGCTGAGCCTCGCTGGCACCAGCTTTGCAGGGCCAGCCCAACTCCAAGCAGCTTGGGGAGGCTTGCGCTTATCTTCTGAGTCTTTTAGGGTAAGCCAGACCCCAAGAGACCTATGGCTGTCAAGGAAGGGGCCACTGCCAGGTTCCTGAAGGTAAGAGACACAGCTGCCACGTGGATGGGGACCTGGAGCTCTTTGCAGGAATATGGGGATAGCCCTCTGGGCAAGAGCCTCCAGAGCACGTGAGCTGTGAATCTGAGAAGATTGCCAAAAAAAAAAAAAAAAAGGAACTTTGCACTGTCTGTGGCTGGGGGTGAATCCCGTGCAGGAGGCAGCTTTGGGCAGGGTCTGCCGGCAGGGTGACTGGGGGCTGGAGGATGGTCAGGAGCCCCAGCTTAGAAAAATAGGGAAACGGGGAAGCAACAGAGGAAATCAAACTCTGGGAGTTGGGTTGGTTCCTCAGGAGCGGGACTGGGAGAATCCAGACCGGGGCAGTCAGAGGGACAGGGCCAAGGGTAAACCAAGCTTGCACATTCCCTGTCTGTATCACCTCCCTGCCCTCTGAGGGGCTCAGCAAGGCTCCCCTGCCAGCCCAGGCTGTGGGGATCCTCAGTCCCTGAATCAGAGAGAGCAAGAGGGGGGCTGGCCCGACCCCACCAACTCCCACCCCTGGGGCTGGCACTCACTGTGGGGTTAGCCCAGCATTGGGGGCTGTGGGGGCGAGGTCCTGCCCGGGGGCGGCCGAGGGGCTCCGGCCCTGCTGCTCTGGGGTCAGGCAGCCTGAGCCTGCCCACATACCCACAGCGGGGCCTGAACCCCCGAAGGGAGGCTTTGAACCCCCTCACACCGGGGGCCGCTCCCCCAAACAGGGGCCCTGGATTCCCCAAGCCGTGGATCTGAGCCCCCCTCACACCGGGGCCGCTCCCCCACTGCCCTGGCCGGCGGCTCTCGGGGGCCGCCATGACACCGGAGACCCTCTCGCCCCCAGGTCACTGGGGCTGCCCTTCTCGCCGTGGCCCTGCGGGCTCGCGAAGGCCGTGCCGGTACTTTTCGTGTTTGTTTCTAATTTAATAAACGTCCGTTTGGAGCTCCAGAACGAGAGCGGGGCTGCCGCGCTCCGAGCGGGGGGCGGTGCGGAAGGGCGGGCGGGCGGAACCGGGGGCCGCGGCCGGAGGAGCCGGAGGGAGCGATCCGGGCGGCGCACCCGGAAGCGGCGCGGCGCAGGGGCCTTGCGGGAGCGGCGGCGCCGAGCGGGGCGGGCGGGGCGGGCGATGCTGTCCCGGGCGGGGATCCGCGCCCGGCCCGGCCTCGGGCTGCTGCAGGTGCGGGTGGGCAGGGAACGCGGAGAACTGGGGGTTCGGGGGGTGCCCACGTGGGGAAGGTCCGGGTAGCGGATGCTGGAGGGGCCCGGAGAAGGGATGTGGATCGGGGGCGCCGGGATGAGGGCGATGGTGCTGGGGAAGTGGGCAGGGGTGGGGTAAGGCGGTGTGCGGGGACAGAGGGCACGGCGGGTCCCAGGAGGAGGCGAGGGGGAGTCGTGCAGGGATTGGGGTTACGGGGGGCTGTGGGGAAATGGGTGTGGGGGTTGAGGAGAGACCCGCGGTCTGTGGGGCTGGGGCCCCGGCAGAGTGCTGGGGTGCTGGTGAGGAGCAGGGCTGTGTGGGCACGGCGGGGTGACAAAGATAAACGGGTACGGGGCGCTGGGAGCTCGGTGTCGGTGTTCGGGGTCCGGTGGAGGGCTGGCGGTGTGCGGGAGAGCCGGGCAGGCACGGGGGAAGGTGCGGCGGGCAGTGTGGGGGTCTGGGGGGAGCCGGGAGAGGTGAGGGGCAGGGAGGTGGTGTAGAGAACAGACAGGTACAGAGAGGCTGGGTGGTCAGCGAGGGAGGGTTTGGGGCTGGGAAGAGCTGGGATGTGGGCAGCGGGATGCACAGGCATAGAGTAAGGAGGGAGAGGGGTGTGGTGCAGAGCACAAACGAGTGAGGGGGTAACTCAGGGTTCAGTGGGGGGGTGGTGTTGAGGGTTTGGGGGGCACCGTGCATGAGGAGGGATGCAGAGGACAAATGGGGGTACGAGGGGGACTGAGGGAGAGGGGTCTCTGGTGGGGTGTTGGGGGTCTGTGGGTGCTGGGATGGTGGTGCTGAACTGGGCAGGGATTGGGGTACGGGGGGCATTGCAAAGGAGGCTGTGGATGAACGGGTGTGGAGAGGGACAGTGTGGGGTGGCTGAACATGGGCAGTGGTGAGCTGGGTCTGGGTTGTTGTAGGAGAAATGGATGTGTGGGGCTGTGGAGATGTGAGCTGGGTTGGGATGGGGGGAGGTTGAGGGAAGCTGTGTGAGTGAGTGTCCAAGGGGAGGAGGGTGGGGGAATGCCCAGACAGGACAGCTCTTTGTGGGAAGCCCTGGAGGCAGCCAGCACTGGGGAGGGACAGGTTGTTGGAAAGGGATGGCCTGGGGCTGAGGTGGGGGAGTGGGCCTGATGGGTTATAGGGGCTGAGTGGAGCAGAAGAGACCCACATGCACACAGCTTCGTTGCCCTTACGGTGGCAGGGAGGCTTCATTCCCCTCTCCAGGGTGGATGTGAGAGGAGTGGAGACGTGCAGAAAGCTCTGGCATGGGACTGACCCCCCTGCACCAGTGGAGAAGACTGTCCCTGGCGCCCAGGCCTCATCCCTGTGGGAGCAGCCTTGCAGCATGGGCTTGTCTGGGGCATTATTTCCTGTCGTGGTCTGGTCACGAGCCCAGACGGGGAGGCAGTGTGGAGCTGGGCTCTGAGGTGGCAGCAGCTGTGTGAGCCCTGCTCCCTCTCCTCCCCCAGCACTCGCAGCAGCTGAAGCGCGCGGCGCGGCTGGCCCCAGCTCCCTGCCGCTGGAACTCCGGGCTGCCCATGAACATCGGGGTGCTCTTTGTGCCGCAGCAGGAGGCCTGGGTGGTGGAGAGGATGGGCAAGTTCCACCGAATCCTCGAGCCTGTAAGGAGCAGCTTTTCTCCCCTTCTGGATTCAGCAGGTTCCTAAAGCTGTAGCGAGGCGCGTCCTTTGCACGAGGATCCGAGAGGGGTGGTGGGCTCAGTTTCCCAGGCTGAAATCCTTTTGGCTGCCTGTGGACTAATTTTCCTTGGTGGGGTGTTAAAAGCACTGCGTAACTCAAATTCCTTGTGTGTAAAACGTGTTTGCAGTGTGTGGCATGGGCTTTGTTTGCATGACTCTCTCTAGTGTATCAGCCATCTAATCCCACCCTTTTCCCAGGGCTTGAACTTCCTCATCCCTCTCCTGGATCGGATTCGTTATGTCCAGAGTCTCAAGGAAATCGTCATTAATGTCCCAGAGCAGTCAGCTGTCACACTGGGTGAGGAACAGCTTCTGTGTCCTGCCCCTTTCCTTCTGCTGCACCTGGGGTGAGCGAGGGACGATGTGAGGATGAGTGGAATTGTCCCAGGCTCCTGCACTCAGCCCTGTCCCCTGGTACCCAGGCTTGGCCATAAGATCACAAGATCACTGAATGATTTGGGTTAGAAAGGACCTTAAAGTTTGTCTCATTCCAGCCCCTGTACCATGGACAGGGGACATGTTCCACTCGCCTGGGCTGCTCAAAGCCCTGTCCAGCCTGGCCTTGAACACTTCCAGAGATGGGGCATCCACAGCTTCTCTGGGCAACTTACTTCAGTGCATCACCACCCTCACAGTAAAGAACTTCTTCCTAACATCTAATCTAAGCCTGTCCTCCATCAGCTTAAGGCCATTCCTCCTTGTCCCATTCCTCCATGTCTGCTCTCTCTGGGCTGCAGCTGCCCCTTCTTACTAAGTTGAAAGTACCTGGCCAGAAATAAATTTTTCAGGTGTTTTCCTGTATTGAACCACAAAAGAAAATTCTGTTTCTGTTAGAAACATTTTAGAACAGGTTGATGGATATGATGTTAATGGACAGCTCTGTTATATTTCCAGTTTTAAGTGGTTTGTTTTGGTTTTTTTTCTCCTTAAATCTTTCTTTGCAAGAGCTACAGTGTGAAATGCTTCTGTTGGGAAAGTCAAGACCTGTTGTGTGTTAAAACATCACAGTGTTGTTCAGGGAACATAAGGTCCTTTTTACAAAGCCTTTAGATAAGAAGATCTATTTCAGCCAGTCCTCTTCTGTGCCATGCAGCTATGTCAGGGTGAAAAAGGATGAGCCTGCCCAGCTGTGCTGTGGAAGAGGTGGTTTCTGTCTTTTGTTTGTGCTGCTTCATGATCAGGTTCTGTTGTTCTCTCCTGACAGATAACGTCACCCTGCAGATCGATGGTGTGCTCTACTTGCGGGTTATGGACCCCTACAAGGTACATCCCTGCCCTTTGGGCACCTTTCTCCTGGTTCTGCCAGCTCCCTGCTCCCCAAAATGTGTGCTCCATCCTCTGTGTCCTGCCTGGCAGGTGGGCTGGGCACTCCCAAGGCTCCAGGCTCCACGTTTTCAGCAGGGGTGTCTGGCAGATTTCTTGCTTTAGTGCTCTTTGTCTCTCCTGTCTTGTTCAGGGTCCCTCTTGGCATTCCTATTCACTCTGTTTTGTGCTTCTGCTCTTCAGGCCAGCTATGGCGTGGAAGATCCTGAGTATGCAGTGACCCAGCTGGCCCAGACTACCATGAGATCTGAACTTGGCAAACTTTCCCTCGACAGAGTCTTCCGGGTGAGCTGGGGAGGTGGATCACAGAGCTGACAGTGTCTCCCAAAATCCCAGGACAGCCTGCATGGCCAGGCTGATGTGCTTAACAGCAAAATACCCTTTGCTTAGAGGGCTTATGGCTTCTATTTCAGTTGACCTATTGGTGAATCCTTGGAGATGGGTTTTCTTTCAGTTGTTTTTTTTAACAGGAGCTATTTTTTGCCCTGCCCTGGGTTATTTGGAGGGGATGATGGGTGGTATGTGCCCAGACCCAGCTGGTCGAGCTGCCTTTCTTGAGTCAGTGACTCTTTACTCAGCCCCAGTGGTGAATATCCCTGACCTGTGTCATGGGGTACTGTAATCCTTCTACTTCATTTGCTGGGAAGAAACTGGAGATGCTGGCATTCTCTTGTATCCAGATGTATGCCAAGTGTTGTATCCCAGCAGCTTCAGTGTGGGTCACTGCTCTCCCTAGGAGATGGTGACCCCTTCAACAGCTGCAGGAAGCACCTAAGCCTTCCCGAAACCTGTGGAGATGTTTTTTTCTGGCAGACCTTGGCCTCTGAGGGAGGTGTCTGTTTCCCTCCTGACGCCTCTCTGATGCTAAGCCCCTCTTCTCTGCTCTCTGCCATTTCTTTTGTGCCATCCAGGAGCGGGAGTCCCTCAATGCCAGCATCGTGGATGCCATCAACCAGGCTTCAGACTGCTGGGGCATCCGGTGTCTGCGCTACGAGATCAAGGACATCCACGTGCCCCCACGTGTGAAGGAATCCATGCAGATGCAGGTGAGGCTCTCTGGGAGGGAGATCTGGAACAAGAGGGGAGCCTCCTTTCTGTAATGCATTACAGAATCACAGAATCAGTAATGTTGGAAAAGACTTCACATCATCAAGTCCAGCCTATGACCAAACGCTTCTTTGTCATGTCCGGTCTTTGCTTAAAGATCTCCACAAACACTGTCACTACCACTTCTCTGGTAGCCCATTCCAATGTCTAATCACCCTTTCTGTGAAGAAATTCTTCCTAATGTTCAACCTAAACCTCCCCTCGTGTTGCTTGAGACTGTGTTGTCTCATCCTGTTGGTGACTACCTGGGAGAAGAGTCCAACCCCTGTGTGACTGCAACCTCCTTCCAGGTAGTTATAGAGAGTTATAAGGTCTTTCAAGACCTTGTCTCCTCTTGTCCAGATTAAACAGCCCCAGCTCTCTCAAGGGTTCCTCATCAGATTTGTGCTCCAAATCTTCCCCAGCTCCATTGCTCTTCCCTGGACACTCAGCACCTCAATGTCCCTCCTGGGCTGAGGTGCCCAGAACTGGACGCAGGACACAAAGCATGGCCTCACCAGGGCTGAGCAGAAGGTGGTAATCACCTCCCTGGTCCTGCTGGCCACACTATTGCTGATACAGGCTGTGGTTCATTATTGTTACCTGTCCAGAGCTGGCAGCACCCAGACCTTACATCAGGAGGGCACTTTGGCTGCCGATATACAGCTACTGAATAATTATAATTACTTATAATTTTTGTCATAATTTTTGTGGTGGTGGCCCCCACCTGCAACATACAAGCCTTGCCACGTCCCTTTGAAATCCCTTCTGGGCTCTGGAGAAGCAAATCTCAGAGCTGAAGGTCTCCCCTTGAGAAAAGCTGGACACCAAATATTTAGGCTGGAAGGGAGAAGGAGTTGGGGGAAGCAACTGTCCACTTAGGTGGGAATGGGGCTGGGAAGGGCTGTGTGGCATGAGGAGCAGAGCCAGCCCTCACCAAGACCACACAGTGTTCTGTAGCTGTATTTTCATGCTTTGCTAAGCCGTGCTCCCCCCAGCAGAGCAGAGGAGCATGTCCTTGCCCCACAGGTGGGATTTCCCCAGCACAGCCATGGCAGGCTGGTGTCTGACCTGTGTTTGCAGGTGGAGGCAGAGCGACGGAAGCGAGCAACAGTGCTGGAGTCAGAGGGGACAAGGGAGTCAGCTATCAACGTGGCTGAAGGCCAGAAGCAGGCCCAGATCTTGGCATCAGAAGCTCAGAAGGCCGAACAAATCAACAAAGCTGCTGGTACTGCCTGGGGCTAAACCATGGGGTTCTGGACTGAGGGGTGGTGCTACAGGGGAGAGGCTGCGTCGCTGTGAGCCAGGCTTCCTCAGCCACTCTGATCCTTCCCTGCTGGGGCCTCAGGCTGAGCTCCAGTTGATGCTGCCCTGCCCCAGCCTCCTGGCAGCAGGAGGCTTGTGATAGTGCTGCTGTTGGGGAAGAAACAACCACGCATGCATTGAAATTGTCTTGATTCACTCCCTGAAATGGTCGGGATTCAGTCCTTGCAAGTGCTTTGTCGTGGCTCTGATGTGCACCCTGCTGTGGTTCGTTGCAGGAGAAGCCAACGCCATGCTGGTCAAGGCCAGAGCCAAGGCAGAGGCAATTCAGCTCCTAGCAGCTGCTCTGGCACAGCAGGTGAGTGATGGCTGCCTGGAGCAGCCTTTGCTTTGGTGCTGGCACTGGGGGAGGTGCAACTGCGGGCTGGGGGGCGCGTGGCTTTCTCCTGGACACTCCCTGGCACCCTCGGCAGCAGCAGGGAGTGAGGGTGGGCTGGGGATACAGGCAGGGGTGAGCTGCTGCTGGCATGTGACTTGTCCCTCTGTCCCCAGCACGGCAATGCTGCTGCCTCCCTGTCTGTGGCAGAGCAGTACGTGAACGCTTTCTCCAAGATTGCCAAAGAATCCAACACCGTCCTGCTGCCCGCCAACACCGGCGACGTCACCAACATGGTCGCACAGGTCAGTGCAGCCCGTGTGCCCTGGGCTGCATCCAGAGGCAGGGAGGGGATTCTGTACCTCTGCTATGGGAAAAGGCTGAGGGAATTTGGATTGTACAGCCTGGGGAAGAAAAGGCTCCAAAAGGACATAGTAGCACTTTCCAATACCTAAGAGGGGCTTGCAAGGAAGATGGAGAGGTGCTTAACAAGGGCATGTAATGATAGGATGAGGAGGAATGGCTTTAAACTGAATGAGTAGGTTGAGATTACATTTTAGAAATAAATTCTTCCCTGTGAGGGTGGTGAGGCCCTGGCACAGGTTGCCCAGAGAAGCTGTGGATGCCCCATCCTGGGAAGTGTTCAAGGTCAGGTGGAGTGGGGCTCTGAACCACCTGCTCCAGTGCAGGGTGTGGAGGGGTGTGAAAAAGGATCCCTTCCAACCCAAGCTGTTCTGGCTCTCACCCAAGTGAGTCTTGCCCCAGGGAGGTGAAGAGGGCACCAAGCTGGGGCCTGGCCCTCTCCTCTCCTTCCCTCCCTGTGACTGTCTACTTCCCTCCAGGCCCTGGGGATCTACACCACACTGACCAAGCCACAAGCTGTGAAGACCCAAGATGAGATGCCCCCAGCCCACGAGGAATCCCCCTCTCCTGCCACGGAAGTGCTGAAGGCAGAGCAGGGCAGCTCCAGCTAACAGGGCTGGAAGGATCTCATACCCTCTCCCGAGGCCTGCCAGCAGTCCTGTTCTGCTGCAGGCAGCCGCTCTTGTTCCCTTAGTCCCTATTTTGTATTGGATTTAAATCATGTAATAAATGGTAACAGTGCTGCTGCAGCACCTTCCCTCGTGCTTGGGTGCCTGACCCCAGCATTCAGTGCCAAAGGGGGATCATCCTCCTCAGCAGGCTCCTGCTGAGGGTCTGCCACGGACATGCAGTGACGTATGAGAGTGGAAAATTATATGTTACAAAAAAATTCTTCCTGTGAGGGTGATGAGGCACTGGCACAGGCTGTTCTGGGAAGTTGTGGATGAGGCTCTGAGCAACCTGGTCATGTTGAAGGTGTCCCTGCTCACGGAAGGGGGGTTGGAGCTAGATGATCTTCACCTTTCCAACCCAAACTATTTTATGATTCTGTGAATTTGGAGACCCCTCCCAGTGCGTCACCTCTTTGGGAACGTGAGCTGCTCTGTCAGCTCCCAGAAGCTGCCCTACAGTGCGTGACTGTGCATTCTCTACAGTGAGCTCCTCACAGCGCCCAGCACAGGGCGGGGAGCGCCTCTGTCGATGAATTAATTACTTGATTAATTAAAACAACACTTTGTCATTGTGAGTGTGCCTCGGCTGCCGGGAGGCGCGCTGGGACCTCCGGGCCGCCAGGCGGCGCTGCCGCCCCACGGCACTGCCGGCGGTGCCGCTCTAGCGCGGTCAGCGCCACACGCGGCGCTTCCGGGAGCGACGGGCGCCGGGAGCCGCAGGTGGGACGGGACGGGAGCTGGGTCCGCGGGCTCAAAAAGGGGACGTGAGAGGCTGGGGGGCCGGGAGGGGAGTCTGGGGCACGGGCGACACTAGGGTGGCGCGGGTGTGGGGTGGCGGACCGGGAGTCGGTGGTGCAGGGGAGGGGCTGGGGCTGTGTGAGGGGGAATGCGGGTGTCGGGCAGGGGATGGGGATACCGGGGCAGGGCTGGGGGTGTGTGAAGGGGAATGCGGTGTCGGGCAGGGGATGGGGATACCGGGGCAGGGCTGGGCGTGCCGAGGCAGCGCTGGGCAGTCGGGAGGGAGCAGGACTCGGCTCCCGTGCAGGAGGGGATACAGGGAAGTGCGTGGGGCAGTTGCCGGACACGGAGCGGGACGAGTGAAGTCGAGAGGCTGATGGGGGCTGCGGGACGGGCGGGTGTGGGAGTGCTGGGCCAGGGACGGGTGATGGTGGGGAGGCAGTGGTGCCTGCCTGGGGCTGAGCCTGCCTGTCCTTCCCTCTAGGATGCAGCGGTGGCCAGTGGTGCTCTTCCTGGCCTGGGTTTGCTTTCTCTTTTTTGCTGGTATCGGGCTCTTCATGAGCGGCTTCTTGCTCACCCGGATCGAGCTTGCCAGCAGCAGTTCCTGCTCAGACCCGCTCGTGCCTCCGCTTTGGGAGAGGCAGAGCCTCCCGCCAGGCTCCTGCTGGGCTCCCCAGCGCTTTTCCAAGGCTGTGCTCGTCATCATCGACGCCCTGCACTTCGAGTTCGCCCGCTTTGACCCCGCCAAGGCCAGCCCGCTGCCCTACGAGAACAAGCTGGGCGTGCTGCACCAGCTGGCCACCTCGCAGCCCCGCCACGCGCGGCTCTACCGCTTCCGAGCCGACCCGCCCACGGCCACCATGCAGCGCATCAAGGGCCTCACCACGGGCTCCCTGCCCACCTTCATCGACGTGGGCAACAACTTCGCCTCCTACGCCATCCAGGAGGACAACCTGCTGGCACAGCTGGTGCAGAACGGTGGGTTCCAGGCCTTTAGCTCAGGCAGGGGAGTTTTGGCTGGATATAATTTATTTTTTTTTTCACAGGAAGGGGAATAGGTTGCCCTGGAAGTGCTTAAGAGGCTTTCGTATCTTGTGCTGGGTGGTGTGGTTTAGGGTTTGTAGTGGTGGGTGGGTGATTGGACTGGATGGTTTTGAAGGTGTCTTTCAACCTTCATGATTCTGCAACTGGGGCTGTTCAGCCTGGAGAAGAGAAGGTTGTAGTGCAGCCTTCCAGTACCTGAAGGGGACCTACAGAGAAGCTGGAAATTAATTCTTTGTCAGGAACTGTAGTGATAGAATGAAGAACAATGGGTACAAATTAACAGAGAAGTTCAAGTTAGATATTAAGAAGTAATTCTTTACTATGAGGGTGGTGAGACACTGGAACCCCAGGAGGGTTGTGGATGGCCCATCCCTGACAGTGTTCAAGGCCATGCTGAATAAAGCCTTGAACAACCTGATCTAGTGGGAAGTGTCCCTGTCCATGGGAGGGGGCTTGGAACTGGATGATCTCTAAGGTCCCTTCCAACCTCTTAACATTCTGTGATTCTATGACTCTGTGTGGGCAGGGCAGCAGCCCACTGGGACAGGGCATGTGCAATCCTCTGCTCAGTTAAACCTGTATTCCAAATCTTGATTATTTTCTCCCTGGGAAGGGTATTCCTTGCAGCAGATCCCCCCTGTGAGCTGATTCTTTCTCCCTGCTAAATGACATTTACCTAAGGCAGGGCTGTCATGCAGGCAGGGCATTGCCAACTTGGGTTAGCAGTGAGAAGTAGCTGTGACCATGACTTCATCTTCATCATCTTCAAAGATGACAAGAAAGCAGGTGAAAGTGGCTGCACGGGTGGCGTTTGTCCCAAGGTCACCCTAATATCATTTACATAAGGCAGGACATTGCCAGCTTGGGTTGGGAGTGAGAAGTAGCTGTGGCCATGACTTCATCTTCATCATCTTCCAAGATGATGAGAAGGCAGGTGAAAGTGGCTGCACGGGTGGCGTTTGTCCCAAGGTCACCCCCAGGAGTGCCTGTAGGACTGCCAAGGTTGTGTTGTGTGAGGCACGTGACAGGGAGGAGCCAGGTGTGCCAGGTGGTGCCAGGTGTGCTGTGGGGGTGTCCCTCAGGCAGCCAGCCTGCCTGGACAGCTGCCCGCAGCCATGAGGCAGCAACCTCATCCCATTCTCGTTGTGGTTTGGTGCTGCTGGGGCTGCTTAGTGCACGTAAAGGGCTTGTTATGGTGGGATAATGGAACAGAGGGAAGAGGACAGGCCACAGTGGTTTGTTACCCAGAGAAACTTCCTTCCAAGGCTCAGAGTGTGCTAAGGCAACATGACTTTGTGTGAGCAAGGTGGGCAAATGCAGTGAGTCATCTGAGGTAAAATGATGATCACAGTATATCCTGTGGCAGAACAGCAGTCTCAGGAAAAAGGTTCCTTGCTCCCAGGCTGAAGAGACTCTGTGGAAACACAGCTGGCTGATGGCAGGCAAGGCAAGGAGAGAAAGGGCAGAGGGAAGCATCAGTGCTTTTGCCTTCTCTTTTCCATGTCTGGAACACCATCACCACTGTGTTTAAAAGCCAGAGCTCAGGACTTCTTCTCTCCATCACCTGCTGCCTTGAGTTTTGCAGTGGTGTCACAGGCCTCAGGTGAGGCTTTGTCTGCTTCATGCTGCACCCTGTGCACCCGCCTGTGTTGTGGTGGCCCAGGAGTCTTCCTGCAGGAGTGATGTGTCAGATCAGCAATAAGTCCTGAGGTTATGCAGTGGCTTTGGTGTGGGGAGCACTTATGGGCTGGTTCCTCCCTCTATTCAAAGTCATTTACAGACAGATGGGTTTTTTTAAGTGAAAACTTTAGTTGGACAGGAGCCATTGCTCCAGATCCTGACCTGGATCTGCTCAGGCTGTTTGTGGTAACAGCATGACCCAGGAGGGCTCCATCTCTCATTGGTTCCTTTCTTCTGGCTCAGGAAGGAGAGTGGTCTTCATGGGTGATGACACGTGGGAAGGACTCTTCCCAAAGAAGTTCTTCCGTTCCTATTTCTTCCCTTCTTTTAATGTGAAGGATCTTCACACTGTGGATGATGGGATCCTGCAGCATCTCTATCCAACTGGTAAGTAGCTCTTTCACCAGGGCATGGATAAACCTTGGCCTAATATGGCAGACCTACTGCAAATTCGAGGTAGGGCTGGACGATTTTTTCCTTTACAAAGGAGCACTGGGCAGTTACACACTGGTGCCCTAGGATTACAGTGCTCTAGCTGTATTTCCACAGATAAGGCAGTTCTTGGAGCCCACAGACCATTTCTGTAGATACCCTTCCTCTCTCTGAGTCAGAATTCAGCTTTTTGGGGTGAGGTTAGACTTCTGCATATGTCTTACAAAATACACTGATGGGATGGAGACAGAGGAGCACCTTAACTTTGACATGTGGCTGCCTAGGCAAGCACACAGTGCTCCTGCACACAATGCAGGAAACACAAGTTAGGAGCCTGAGACACAGCACTGCTCTCAGCAAAGCGTTGGTGCTCCCTAGTCATGGGAAGAAGATGAAGCATGAAATAGGTTATTTCCACCTCCCTGAGATCCTGGGACCAAGGGACAAGATCATTCATTTTTCTGTGTCTGAATATAAACAACTCATGGGTGTGGTGGCCTTTCATGGGCAAGTCTGCATGCCTTGTGTGAGAGCTACAGGTCATAATTTAACTTCAAACATATTGGTTTTCATGTGTTAAGGCCCTGAAGCAGAGGGGAGAGGCCAGGGTAACTTTCTAACTAGGGACTATGTTGGTGTGTCATGCCCATGTACTGGGATGCAGAGGGGCATGTTGATGGGTCCAACTTAAAATATCTCCAGGGAATGATGGAAGTTGTGGGTTCTCCTTTTTCTGAGCTCAGTCTGTGGCAGTTTGAGGTAAGTTCAAGATGACTTGGGTGGCATTGTACTGTTCTCCTCCTGAGGGGTGGGGAGAAAAAACAGGGATCCTGGCATGTTTGCAAGGCTTTGAGGTCCCTGTGTCATTGCACCCAGGGACCTCTGGCCAAGACTATGCCTGACTTAAAGCCTGCATCCATTTCCCCAAGAGCTGGCGGTGGCAGGAGGGGCAGAAATAGCAATATCCACAGGCAACCAGGAAATTTTGGCAGGAAGATCCAGGCTTAGAATTCCAGGCTGGTGCTTGATATGTTTTCTTTTGTTCTGCAGTGGACAGCGGTGAATGGGATGTGCTGATTGCTCACTTCCTTGGTGTGGACCACTGTGGGCACAAACACGGACCCGACCACCCCGAGATGGCAAAAAAGCTCACCCAGATGAATGAGATGCTCAGGTGATCAGCATGGCACTGAGGAGTTGCTAGCTGGCCTCTTCCTTCTGCCAGGCTGGTGGCACCTTCCCAGGGAATTTACAAGTGCAGAGGAACAGGGAATGCTTACAAAACAGCTTTGGCCAGCAGCAGCTGGAACCTCAGCTATGGGCAGTATTGCTTGCATAGAGTGTTGAGAGGTTTGGTTTCATAAGTAAGGCTGCCCTCAGGTGTTGCTTCTCTACCAAGCCATGAGATGATAGTGCAGCTGGAGTGTCACTGAGCCTGTCTCTTTCCATCTTTAACATGGACATTGTCCCACTGAGGTCTGGCTAACATTTGAGAAGCAGATGGAGGACTCTGGTTAGGGAATGAGTGCTGCTGCATTTATCACACAGAACCATGAGCTGCACCTTTGAGACAAAGGACAGGATGGGATACAGAAATTTCAGTAATGCAGGTGTGTCTCAGCCCAAAATGCTGCAGCTTTTGATTCTTAGGGCTGCTTTGAAGTTTTGCTGCTAGAAGGAGTTGGGAACTTGCTGTATCTGAGAGTGCAGCATATACTGTGCCATACCTACTGCATCCTTCAGGAACTAATCCCTGCTTTTTTCCTTTGAAGTGGGAGATGGCTCACGTAACATGATACATGACCTAAATAGAAGCAGCCTAAAATTTTGTTTTTATCAGGAGCCTTTCTTCTGAATTGCATTTTTGTCACAATCCTTGAAGGTATTGTTTGCTGGGGATCCAAGCAAGATTGGTCCACTCTGTCTTAGGGCTCTGAATTTTCAGTTTGGTTTTAAAGCAGCAATTTAAAACACCCTGGACCCTGGCTTGTTACAGTTCTGCATCAGCATTCAGTTTTGCTCATATCCTTTTGTGAGCTTCACCTCTGTGGTGCAGGCAGGCTTGCTGGAGAGATATCCTCTTCCACCTAGGCTAGTAGGGCCCTTGCCCAGGGAGGAGTTGACCTTGCTTGTCTTGGTGGCAGGTCCTTGGTGGATCACCTGGGAAATGACACTCTTCTTCTGGTGGCTGGGGACCATGGCATGACAGAAACTGGAGACCATGGTGGCGACAGCGAGAAGGAAGTCAACGCAGCACTGTTTGTGTACAGCAGGACACCCCTGTTTGGCAGTGGCCCTCCAGAGGTGAGGAGTTGACTCTTAGCTATCCCTGCCGGAGTTGGTGCCTGAAAACTGCATCCTGGATTACAGAGGATTAGAGAGTGACAGTTTTACTGGCTTTTTTTAGACTGAGAGGGATGGGGAGTCTGTCACAGAATCAAGGAATAAGCTGAATTGGAAGGGACACATCAGGATCATCAAGTCTAACTCCTGGCCATGCACAGGACACCCCCAAGGGTCGTGCCATGTTCCTAAGAACATTGTCCAAACATCCTGAACTCTGTTAGGCTTGGTGCTGTGAACACTTCTCTGGGGAGCCTGTTGCAGTGCGTGATTGTCCCCTGGGGAGCCTTTTCCTACTATCCAACCTAGAGCTATCCTGACACAACTTCAGACCATTCCCTCAGGTTCTGTCACTGGTTAGCACAGAGAAGAGATCAGTGCCTGACCCTCTTCTCCTTGTTAGGATGTTGAAGATCACCAGGATGTGTCCCCTCAGTCTCCTCGGAGATCAGTGCCTGACCCTCTTCTTCCCCTTGTTAGGATGTTGAAGATCACCAGGATGTGTCCCCTCAGTCTCCTCGTCTCCCGCTGAACAGACCAAATTACTTCAGCCACTCCTCACACGGCTTCCCCTCCAGACCATTCATCAGCCTCCTGGCTGTCATTTGGATGCTTCCTAATAGCTTAACTTCTTTCTTATATTCTGGTGTCTAAAACTGCCCCCAGCATTTGGGGCCAAGCAGAGCAGAGTGGGACAATCCCCTCCCTTGCCCGGCTGTTGATGCTGTGCCTGATGCCTCACAGGACGGGGTTGGCCCTCCTGGCTGCCAGGGCACTGCTGACTCAGATTCAGCTTTCCATCAACCAGGACCTCCTGGTCTCTTTCCATGGTGCTGATATCCAGCCTTTTCACCTTGATTGAGAGGAGTGGGAGGTCTGTCACCTTGTCTGTAGAGCAGTGGAAGGGCTGACACAGCATACAGAGAACTGAAGTGTTTGGAATGCATGTTCAGATCATGCACTACAGCTGTGAGGGGTGCTTGTGTGGGGCCAGGTGAGCTGTTGGACAGCCAGTACCTTCCCTGTCAACCTGCAGCTCCCAGCAGGCATGCTTCTCACCAGAGAATCCTTGGGGAGAGTAGAGCTGTGCCTCTGCCTGGATAATGTTTGAACAGGGATGTCTTCCCCACTGTCCTCTCAAATGAGTGAAAAACTCCATCGCTGTGTTCTCTCTGAATTTCTGATTCCTCCCCTGTCTTTCCAGGAGCCTGAAACCATTCCCCAAGTGAACCTGGTGCCCACTGTGGCCCTGCTGCTGGGGGTGCCCATCCCCTACAGTAATATTGGGGAGGTGATGGCCGAGCTGTTCGCTGGGGACGGTGACGCTGTGTCTGCAGCCTTGCAGCAGCTCTCAGTCTACCACATCAATGCCAAGCAGGTATGGCCTGTGGTAAGCCTCCCATTGAACTAGAGGGGAAAAGGAATGGGGTTTTAACCACAAACCTCTTCTGCTTGGTGGAGGTGAAATGGTGACATGCTGTTATCTTCATGGGGAACTTACTTTGAAGCATTACATCCTTGCAGTGTTTGCTCCAGTAAAAGACAGCCCCATTTTCCCTAAAGAGAAATAAGAGCCATGCTTTTAGTGCTGTGGTGTGGAAAATACTGTCTGGGAAGGTGGAGGGTGGCTGGACCCAGATGGTCAGAAGTGGATTAAGTAATAGGGGATGCTGGTTCCTCAAGTCTGAAGATGACCAGAGGCAAGTCTTGTGATTGGAGATTTGAAAGTAGAAGTGGAGATTTTGATGCTGCTTCAGTTTTGAAGGAGAAACAGTGTTAACAAAAAAACCATTCTAGATTAGTGGAAGAAGGAAAAGAGTAATGAAAGACCAAATTAAAAAACTAACCATGTAATAGGCAATACTAAGGTAGGATACTGAAGGAGCAATTTACACAAAGTGCAACAAAATACAGAACCCCGGGAGCAGATTGATGAAATATGAATGAGTCTCTACATCAGGTATGAAAGAAGCCTAGGCAGTGGAGCCGGCTAAGTGAGAGCCTCTATGGATGATGTGAGCTCCATCTGTTGTGGCTCTGGTCATGCTGCAGAGCCAAATTTGCCACAGGCATTGCAAGGCATGCATCTCAGCTAAGGGCCAGTTTGCCTTTGAGGGATTCTGGATTCCTGGGAGTACAGGAATAACTCCTCTGGTCCCAACCAGCTCCTTGGAGTGCCAGTTGGACACCACTGGTGCAAGCCAGTGAGGAGCTGGAGAGAATGATTGCTGATGGGAAGACAGAAATACTCAGCTCTGTAATTATAGAGCAGCAGAGTGCTCTGACATTTAAAGATCATACTGTGTGTTAGTGTCCATTAATCACTGAGGATATCAATCGTCATTTGTTAGGAATTAGCATTATCAAGTTGTGCCTGTTTAAATATTTGCACTCATTGTTTGAGGAGGTTTCTGGCTCGGTAATGGTGGTATTAAAGAAGCCATGGCATTCCAGGGAAGCCCGTGAGAGAGCCAGTGCATGTGTGTGCCATCCATGGGCAGGGGCAGACTGATTCTGACTGTGCTCTGAGGCAAATGGAAGGTGTGTGAAGTTACAGGTGCAATTCAGGACTGGAGAGATCTAAGGAGATTTATGTGTGTGCAGGTTCTCTGCCCTGCTAATGCCCCTGTAACACTTCTTTCATGACTTTGGGATCATAGCTGCCTCTGTTCATGTCATCTTGAAGTAGAAAGCAAAAATAATGAGTTTTTCTTACACTATGGTGCAGTGTATTAATGTGCTATTATTGAAGAAAGGGAAGCAGTTTGGATTCATCCACTATAAGTTTTTTAATGTGGATGTTTTTTAATGTGATGTTTTTCCTCAGACAAAACTGTAAAACTCAACATGGGGTGCAGATTAACAAGTCTTTTATAGTAATGACTTCTGGAGGACATTTGCCTAATTGCTGTCAAAGACTCCATAAAAGCCCTTAGTGATGCACAGCATTAGCAGAGCTGTAGCTGCAGGAGTCATGGCTGTCACTAAGGATGCATCTCTTGAGAGGGATGTCATTTTGGCAGAGAAATTGAGTTTCCTGATGGTGACATCCTTGGGTGATATGGCTGGGGGCAACTCTGCCCTGGCAGGGTTTGTAAATTGTAGTTGTTTCCATTATGAAGGGGCAGCATGAAGCGCTGAATCCCATTCCCAGTTTTCCAGTGCTGCTGTCTGATCCTGTGTCTCCTCTCCTGTAGGTGGATCGCTTCCTGCAGTCCTACTCGCTGGTGGCTCAGGACCTGCCAGCAGAGCAGCTCCAGCACCTGCAGGAGCTCTTCTCCAGTGCTGTGGAGGAGCACACGCAGCTCCTGACCCAGGTGCAGGGGACGACAGTGCCTCCGGAGCTCAAGCCAAGGCTGGGAAGCCTCATCGGTCGCTTCCAGCGCTACTTGAGGGAGGCACGGGCTGTGTGCACCCAGTCCTGGGCCCGCTTCCACCCCCTGCGTATGGTGGGGGGCTGCATCCTTATTGCTTCCTCTTGCTTGCTCTGCTACATGGCCTCAGAGCTGGCCGTGTCCTCACAATCTCTCTGTCGCAGCTGCCTCCTGTACCCGCTCTTCTGGGGCCCTGTGGGGGCTGCTCTGCTATGGCTGGTCCACGTTTTCACCCAGGAGGAGCTGGATCTGCTCCTGGTGTCGTCATGGGCAGCCGCTGCTTCTCAGCTGGGTTTTTTCTGGCACTGGTGGGGCCAGCATCTCAAGAGAGCCCGTTTGACAGGCAGTCAGCCACCCTTGGCCAGTGGTGGCCTGAGGCAGAGGCTGCGAGCATGGCTGGGGCTGGCCTTCCCCATGGGCATTCTGTTCTTCCGCTGCGGAGCTATGTTCTCCGACAGCTTTGTTGTGGCCGAGGCACGGGTGGCTCCGTTCCTGCTGGCCTCCCTGGTGATGTTGCTAGTAGGGAAGCTCCACTGGGATGGCCACCTGACTGTGCCAGAAGGTCCCAAGCAGCAGCTCCTTGGCGTTTCTTCTTACCGGAGAGAGATCTGGTACCTGCTGTGCCTCGTGGCCATGCTCCTGGTCTGCGTGCGCCTCTCCAGTTTCTTCCACCAGTGCCGCGAAGAAATCCCTCAGTGCCGGCCCTCTGCTTTCCTCTCCCCACTTGCCAGCCTGAGAAACACACGGGCCAAGAACCTCTTCTACCTCCTGTGCGTGGCCTTGCTGGCTGGGCTGGTGTATGCAGTGCAGAGCTGGCTAAGGCACTATGGCAACCTGAACAGCTCAGACCCCCTCGTGCTCTTTGTGCGCTGGGGTTTCCCACTGGTGGTCCTTTGCATTGCCTGCTACTGGGCCGTTGCCTCCAGTGCTGATGACTCTCTTGGCAAGCTGCAGGAGCTGGTGCAGGTTGCAGTTGTTGTCTTTCCCAGGGCTGTCTATGGACTAGCATCCATGGGACTGCTGCTCCTGCTGTGCAATCCCATGACAGTGTTTGCAAAGGACACACGGGAGTCGGCAGGATCCATTGTCACTCCCTACCTGGGGGTCCCTGGCTCTGAAGTCGACTTCCTCCACGTCATCCCTCAGATCTACAAGAGGATGCAGGAGTCTCAGAAGAGCCGGCTGGAGCGGGGCAGCTGCAGGGCCACTGTTGCAGCATATGGGCTGGGCAGCGTGTACTCAGCAGCCCTGGTCATAGCCCTCACCCTGCTGGCCTTCCTCTTGATGCTTCTGCACAGCGAGCGGCTGAGCTTTGCCTTCCTGCTCCTCTTCCTGGAGGCCTTTGTGCTGCTGCACATCCACACGTGTGCCAGAGGCCTTGCTGGAGATGCTGGTGAGTCTGGGCTCAGTAGAGCAACCACTGGATGTGTTACTTGGGGTAACCTGCAGTGACCTTGCCTTAATTACAGTGGGAGAAGCAGGATCTAGTTTCTAGTCTTGGGAAATAGTGGTGCACTGATCCTCACAATACTAGCTTTTTTAGAGCTGCTTAAATCCTCTGGTAGCAGAAAGATGCATGCAGCAGGGATGTGAACATGGGAGGGGGAGAGTGTCTGGGGTCAGGGAAAGGAGCTCTCTTTTTCCCAGGGAGTGAACAGTCACCTAACTCCACTGGTTCTGACAGAGTGCAGTAGCAAGGCTACTGGCACCAGCAGAGGGAATGCTGGCCCCTTGCTGTATCTGTGGGGGGAGCTGACTGTTTCTTGTCTCTAAAAGAGCCAACATGAAAAGGGAACCTGGAAAAAAGGTCACTAGGCTTTTTTTCACCATGGATCTGTCTTGTTCCTTGATGCTGATATCCCCATCCCCTGCCTCTGTTTTTGTCTTTTATTCTCTCAGAGCTGTTTTCAGTGCCGTGGTATGCAGTGATCTCCTGGCTCCTTGCTGCTTCACAGTTCTTCTATTCCACAGGCCACCAGCCTATCTTCCCAGCCATCCACTGGAATGCAGCCTTTGTTGGCTTCCACCTCGACCACAGCATGAATGTCCTGCCTGCTGTCCTGGTGGGAGCCAACACCTTTGCCTCCCATATCCTCTTTGCAGGTAAATCAATTTCTTCCTGGGCTGTGGAGCCTCAGCAGACACAGATCAGTGCAGTGCCTTGCCTGGGGCTCTGCAGGTTGAGGACGGGGCAGTAAAGGCTCCAGCACCAGCTGAGCAACAGCATCCTTGCTGCTCCCCTTGTGGGACCACAGCAGCCTGGCCTGGAGCTGGGGTATGTGCTTCCTGCACATCCAGGGCAGGATGGCAGAGCCTAGACTGCTCCTCGCCTGCTGGGCTCTGATAACTTCATGTGCCTTTGTCCTTGAGGTAGTTGGCTGCCCGCTGCTCCTGCTGTGGCCCTTTGTGTGTGAGATGTCCAGCTCACAGAGGAAGAAGCCCAAGAAGGAGTCCCGGGAGGCGCTGCAGGAGGTGCAGGAGCACATGATGGAAATGAGGCTGCGGGAGTCTCCAGAGGAATTCTCCACTGCTCTGCTGCGGCTGGGATTGAAGTACCTCTTTGTCCTTGGGGCACAGGTACAGGCAGAGGCAGGGTGGCTGTGGGAAGGGTTGTCTAGGAGGAAATTGGTGTGCTGTGATAACTGTGGGGCACTCTGATGAGAGAAAGGGGTCAGCCAGGACACAGACAGGCCCTGGGGTGGAGTGTCTAGTTGCAGGTGGAAGAGCAGGTCCCTTCTCAGCCATGCCATTTGCTCTGTGCTTTGGGAAGGGCTCCAGCATGGAAGCTGCCATATGGATTAGGATGCTTTTCATACCTGTATGCCCAGAGTGGGAGTGTCTGCACAGGAGCTGCAGGGTTGTAATCCTTAGCATTCCTATCTCAGCAGCTCTGGTTTTCATATGTGCTGTGATTATACAGGAAGCTAAACACCAGAAATTTTAATCCTGTGAAAGAAGTGAATAGTTTTCTGGAATTTATCTCCTCAAATCATTCTCCTGTTTGTCAGACCAGAGACAGTGCAAGGGAAGGGGCAAGCCCTGCAGCAGAGAGCAGCAGTGCCCCACTCAATGAAATAGGTCAGGTTAGCCATGGTGTGAGCCCTCCCCCTGTGCTGCCCCAGCCTGGCCCCACAAGGGCCTTCATGTACCCCAAGATGCTTGTATTTCCTGACTTGAGGACATCATGTAAGGGAGTCCTTCTTAGGATGCTCATTCCTGATGTGTGCTGTGCCAGCCTCTCAGGTGCAGTTTAGTACCACCTTCAGATGTGAACCTAGTGCCCAGGAGGTCTCTCCAGAGTCACCTGTAACTTGTTTTTCATGATCTTCCCCACAGCTTCTGGCCTGTGTTTGTGCAGCTATGATCCTCAGGAGACACCTCATGGTTTGGAAGGTCTTTGCCCCAAAGTAAGTCCCAGAAGTTGCTCTGATGCTGGATTAAGACTCATGTCCCTGACACCTTGACTAGAGTTCACAGACAGTAATTTTGGAAGGGACCCTGTGATTGATCTTCTGACTCATTGCCTAGTACTGGTTGTAGGAATATCCCTAACTAACTCCTGCTTGAAATTCAGAAGCTAGACTTGAACTAGAGCCTAGAAGTTTCTCTTCATCTAAATTTCCAAGGACACACAGAGCCCCCCTGGAAGCTGAGAATGTTGTAGTCAGAGAGTCAGAGGTAAGGATACCAGACCAGAAGTGATAAACCCAGAAATGCTGAACCAGCAAACCTTGGAACTAGTCAGTGTGAAGGGTAGCCTCAGCCTGTGAGGGATTCACAATCCTGGCTCAGTGTGTCCTGAGTGGCCTCTAAATCAGAGGAGTGCTTGGCTTATAGGTTACAGGCAGCAACTGCTGGGGAGTGAATGTAATTCAGGTTTTAGGATGCAGGATGCTACCAGCCTCTCATTGTCAGGAAAATCAGTCAGCTGGAGGGTAGCAGCCTGTCTCTGTAGTCGTGCTGGCTCTTGTATCCTCAACTGCATGTGTTGTGCCTGCAGGTTCCTCTTTGAGTCGCTGGGCTTTGTGGTGAGCAGCATCTGCCTCTTGCTGGGGATCTCCCTGGTGATGCGTGTGGACTGTGCCGTCAGCACCTGGTTCAGCCAGCTTCAGCTGAGGTAGCCTTGGAGGCGTGGGGAGCCTGACCTGCTCGTCGGCCCAGGCTGTGCTTGTCTCCTTGCCTCCCTGGGCTGTGAGGGACACACGAGCCGCCAGCAAACCAGTGCCTGCCAACAGCAGTCAGGGATTGTGCCCAGCTCCCTGCTGCTGTGCTGAACAAAAGGACTGGAGCCAACTGCTCCTGGCTCACAGGGATGGTGTTTCTCAGCAGAGGAGGTCAGAGCTCTCACTGGGCCTTTGCTGGCAGCAGGAGGACTCTGCTGCAGGAGCCCAAGAAGCAAGAGTCCTGAAGTGCTCCTCTGGAGAAACACCAACAGGGATCTTGCTGGTACTTTCCTGACACCTGCCACAATGTGCAGCTGGTAGGCTTCAGTGGCCAGCAAGGTGTCACCTTGACTGTGCAAAGACTCACGGGATGGAGCTGGCTGAGGAGGGGAGAGGAGGTTGGAAGGGGAGGGAATGTCCCACAGCCCCCACTTGTTTTCACACGCTTGGTTTTCATGCTGGAATCACACTGCACATGGTTCCATGCAGATGGTTCCTGGAGCCTCGGTGGCAGCTACTCCTCTGTAAAGTCAGTCAGTTGCTCCGTAGTGAGGCCTCTCTTGCCCTACACTCAGTTCAGTCCCACTTCCCTGGTTCCCCTCAGCCCTGTGCAGTGCAGTGGGGAGCAGTCTGGGCTGCCTTGTACATCAGGCTTGGGCCAGTGGTAGCAGGGACAGCTGTGTGCATGACCAAGAAATTCTCCACTTCTGTTCTCAAACTGTCAGGGTCCCTCTGGGCTGGGTGGTAACAGCCAGTGCTCTTGATCTCTTCCTGGCTGTGTGCTGCTGGATGCTGGCTGTTGACTGTGAGCAGTTAAGATGCAGGAGGATGTAGTGACAGGATGTGGGCTCACACCCTGCTGGGCCTGGCCAGCAGGAAAGGGGAATCTGGAGTAGGTGTCCCAGCTGCAGGAGTAGCCTTGGTGTGAGCTCCAGAGCCTGAGAAGAGCTACTTGAAAGTCTGGAGCTAGCACCAATTCTTTTGGGAAGTGGTTTAGCTCAGCTGGTGTCTGTGTGTGTGTGCTGGGTGCTGTGGACTAGATGCAGTCAATCACATCCATGATCCCATCTTTGGGGCTTTTCTCCCTCTTGGCCTTGGCATTCTCTGTGAGACTTCATGTCACAAGTAAGCTATGCCAAACATGCCCTTGACTGCTCACAGTCAGGAGGCATGGTGTTTCTTTCTTTATGGGCATAGGTAGAGGGTGGTGACCATGGTGCCTGGCCACATCCCAGCTCAATTCTTCCTTCAGTTTCCATTGGAGCTGGGATTCCTTACTGCCCCGAACCACTGTGTGGCATTACTTGGTGCTATGAAACCTTTTGTCTCTTTCCTCTCTGGAAAGAGACAAGGACTGCATGCCTGGGATTTCTGCAATGATATTTGCCTGATCCCATTAATTTTTAACTCATGCACCATGACTGCCCCTGTTTGAGTTCATTACTGCAGACTGTTAGCATAACTCCAGGCTCCTCTTCTCCTCTGCCCTGCAGAGTCCCAGGGAAAATCTCTCTCATGATTTCATTTCTTGCCATTTTTCCCAAGTGCCCGGTTGCTGTGGTTCTTGAGGGCAGGTGGAATTATGCATTTTACCCCTGCAAAACGCCTGCTCAGTTGTTCAGATGCAATTCCAGGAAGGCTTAAACTGTTCTTATATTAGGTTTCCATTGCCTGGCCTGCTCCTGATCTGCTGGCTGTGCTCTGCTACCTCAGCCTCTCATGTCCTCTGCTCAGTTTCACCTGCCAGAAGCAGGGACTGGTTTGTAGCTGGCATCACACCCTGGCCTGCCTCACTGCCTGGATGCACAACACCAGTGCTAGCACAAGGATGGGGTAGTGAAAGACAGTGAGGGAAGCTGAAAGCTACAGGAATGCATCACCCCACAATTAAAATGGGCTTAGGCACACCCTTAAAAATAGGTTATTTGCTAAAAGCTGACTCCCTGGTGCCCATGTGCTTCTGAAGGTGTGCTTCTGAAGGAACAGGGGGAGGAGGAAGGGGGTGGAGGTAGCAGTTACCCAGTAAATTTTCATTTAATGTGAGGTTAATCTGGCTAGCACATGTTGCTAAACCTCAAGGCTGGAGCTCAAATTGGACTTGTTGTAACCTCATGACCTGGTCAGGAGCTTTCTGCCTGCCTGTATTTGTGCTGGCAGAAGTCCCTGTGGCCACTGATAATGTAGGACTGGCCCCTGATGTCCCTGCAGCTGCCACCCAGGCCCCTTGGCTTCCATCTCTGGGACTTGTTTCTCTTCTCACTGGTCACTCCAGTGCAGCTGAGCCTTCCCATGCCCAGTGTTCATGGCTGCAGCACTCACACGGGGCTTGGGATTCCTCTCCTCACCCCTGCATGCCACCCCTCTGCCACGTGTGGGCTCGTGGTCCTGGGAGGCCAGGGAGAGCAGAAGGAACAGCAGAGCTGTTGTGTCATCAAAGGACACACTTATCTTGCCAGAGACTAAACAAAACTTGCAGTAGAGGAGCTGCAGCTGCATCCTTGTCACTGCAGAGATGCCATGGAGTGCTGGCTGCTCGGACACAGCAGACTGGCTGCCACACCAAAGATTTCAGATTCATGGAGATGAGTTTTCCAAGGGCTGGAGATGCTCTTGCTTTGTTTCATTGACTGTTTCAGTCTTTGTCAGCCTTCCTCAGCTGCCCTCAAGCTGATTGTTTGGCTGCCATTCTTCTGATGGGGATCACAGAGTTAATGCCAGTCTAGGGCCTGGCAACCTTGGAGGCAGATCATGCTGCTGATGCTAGAGCAGACAGGGTTGTGTTTGCTGATTTAAAACCCCAGGAGGGGGTTGCTTCCTAGTCCAAACCAAGCTTTTTGGGAAATCTGGAGTGCTGGGGAGTTGTTTTGCCCCTCATCCCTCCAAAGAGGTTGTTGTAGGGTCCCACTTGGCTCTCCTAGATGAGTTACTCCAGGCAGTTTATTTATGGTTTTCTGGTCCCTGTGCTGAGTGTGACAGGGGACAGGGTGCTCAGCTGAGCAGTTTTCATCCTGCACTCCACAATCTTTCTGCACTTTGGGCTTTGCAAGCGTTGTGCGTGTGTTTCTTGGCAGGGGAGAGCCATTGGGAAACTGCTCTGGCTCAGGCCCATGGTGTGTCCCATGGTCCTGGGACAGAACAAAAATTCACTTGTTACTCTTTTTTGCTGCCTAGAAAATAGTGACCAAAAGCTGTGGCCACTGTGAAGAGTTGTGAGTGTTGGGAGCACCTGCAGCTCTGGTCCGTGGGGCTAACATGGATCCCAAGGGATGGCACTGTTTGGGGAGCCCAGGGCTCTTTCCAGCTCTGTTCCCACAGCCATTCCTCTGTCCCACCTCTCCCTGTTTTTCCCTCAACTCTTCAGGCTGCTTTTTTATGCCAAGGCACAGTCCCAGTCTCGGTGTGCATGCCCCCCTTCCCCTCAGGAAGCAGCAGAGCCAGTGTGGGGAGCAGGGCTGGGGAGCCCTGCTCTCTCCTCTGAACCCTGACTCAGAGCACCATGTGGCTTGGAGCAAGATTGTAGTTTAATTTTTTATTAACCTCTTTGTACCTCAGTCCCTCATTTGGGGAAAAAAAAAAAAAAGGGGATTAGCCCAGTTGTGGAAAGCAACCTGGGAGCTCTGCATGCAGCGTGGTGCTACACTTTCCTGGGTATCTACATATCTGGCTGTCAATGCTTTCATTCACATCCAGCAGCTACACCTGGAAGGTGGAAGCCATGCTCAAGTCTCTGCTTGAGGGAAGCAGAGCCTTCTTCTTTCCAAAAAACCCTCCAAAACAGGCAAGTTGGCTGTGCTTGTTCACCTGGTGCCCTGGCAAGGCAGCCAGGAAGGGGGCGCTCCGGTGTTAAATTGCATAATTAATTAGTTAATCGGGAGTAGGGGGGAGGCGCGATTTGCTGTCCGAGGGTGGCACGGGGCTTGGGCAGCTGTGAAAATGATGTCTGCAAATAAAACGGCGAGAGCCAAGGGGAGCTGTGTCATCTCATTCTTCCAAATCTCCCCCCGACCCGTCTGGGGTCTCCTTCATGGGAACACTCATCTACAATTTCCTCCTGAGGGGAGGTGGGGCGTTAGGCTCTGATCTCTGCTCTGCAGGAACCAGCAACAGGACCCGAGGGAACGGCCTGAACCTGTCGGGGGAGTTGAACTGGGGTCCAAGACTCTCGGGGTTCAGGAAAAGACTTCTCCAGGAGAGTGGTGGGGCACTGGAACAGGTTCCCCAGGGCAGGGGTCTCAGCTAGAAGCCTGTCGGGGCTCGGTAAGCGCTTGGGCAGCGCACGCGTGTGGCTCCTTGGGCTCCCGCACGGAGGCAGGGCTGGCACTCGCTGACCGGGCGGTCCCCGCCAGCCCGGGCTGCCGCCTTCGCCTTGCGCCGAGCTTTGTCCCTCCTCGGCCCCGCGCTTCCCTGTTGCCTTGGTGACGGCCGCTCCCGCCAATCAGCGGCGAGGGCGGGAAAGGCGGCGGCGGGAGATGGCGGCGGCCAAGAAGCGGCGGCGCGGACCGGAGCGGGAGCGGGAGCCGGGGCCAGAGCCGGAGCGGGAGCCGAGCTGCCTGCGGGCCTGGGCCGCCCACAGCCGGGCGCTGGTCGGGCGCTGGACGGTGCGCACGCCCTCCTCCTCCTTCCCCCCCGCCCCCTTCCCCTTCTGTAAAACAAAAGTCAGACACTCTTTTCTGTGGGAAGTCAGGGAAGAGGCTCTCTGACACAGGTGTGGTGCAGAGAAACCCCAACATGAAGCAGCTTTACTTTCAGTTTTCTCAGCTCCTCAATGCAAGAGAGACACAGAACTCCTGGAGAGGGTTCAGCAGAGGGAAATGAGGATAACTAGGGGACTGGAACATCTTTCTTACGAGAGAAGCCTGAGCAATCTGGGCCTGTTCAGTCTGGAGCGAAGGTGACTGAGAGAGGACCTCATTAATACCTGTCAGTGTCTGCAGGGAGGGGTCAGAGGATGCACCAGGCTCTGCTCGGTGCTGCTGAGCGGTAGGCAGGAGGAATGGGCAGAAACTGATGCACAGGAAGCTCCACCTGGACATGAAGAATAACTTTACCCTGGTGACTGCACATAGGAACAAATTTTCCCGAGAGATTGTGGAGTCTCCCTCACTGGAGATACTCAAAAACCATCTGGATGCAATCTTGTGCCACATGCTCTGAGACAGCCCTGCTGGAGCAGGGAGATTGGACCAGATGAGCCACTCTGGTCCCTTCCAGCCCTACCCATTCTGAGACTCTGTGATAAGGAGAGAGACACAGTGTGTGAAAGGGTGGAGATGTACTGGAGCAGAGTAGGCTGTTGATGCTCTTCTGGGACAGCTGAAAGGCCTAACTCCTGGAGGACTGCAGCTTTTTGGTGGCTGGGGGATGGATGTCTAAAGCAGTGTTGGCACCTGGAGTGCTGACACATGCTCTCTGTCTGGCACTGCAGTTCCCAGGTGGCTAAATCACACCACAGTCACTAAAACCTTCTTGCCAAGCCACTTCTCTTGTCGCCAAGCCAGGTGTTGCCACCTGGGCACAGACAGCTGTTTATTCTTAGCCAGCTGAATTTCTTGTTGGGATGGCTGTGCCCACAGGGCTGCCGGCTGCCCTCCCTGCCCTGCCTCTGGAACTCACTGTCCTCTACAATTCCCTGCTTTTCACTGTGGGAGCATCTGACTCTGCCATCAATGGAGAAGCAGAAGGAATACGCCAGGGGCTCCTCAGGGGTAAGATGTGGTTGTTTTTTTGGGGAGTTCTCGGGGTGAGGAGAGCATTCTCTGTGCTCTGGAGATACTTGGTGACTGTCTGGAGGTGTGGGAACTGTGAGCAGACACTCCTGGTTCTGCTAGAGAAGGCCAGAGATGGGGGAAACTGAGAGGAGACATGCCTGGCTCCACCTGGAAACTGTGGGCAGGCACGCCTGGCTGTGCTTGGAAAGGCTGGAGATGGGGGAACTGTGAGCAGACATCCAGGCTCTGCCTGTAACAGCTGGAGGTGGAGTGGCATGTGGCCAGGACACTGTGCAGCTGCCTGCCTGCTGCTGCCTGCAGGGATGGGCTGGAGGTTTCAAGGGAAACAAGAGCTTTTAATGTGTAAGGTTCTGAGTCTCTAGCAAAGTTTTAGTGACAGTAGAAAATTACTGTTTTCTTTAATTACGGTGTTCTAGCTTCAAAGAAAGCTCATTGAAACAGGCTGCAGTTCAGAGGTGGATCTGCAGTGTTGGCACATGCTTACCTGAGGGCAAATGACTCCAAGAGGGCTCGGCAGAGCTGGAGTCTAGCTCTGAGTTGTGCTGTGTCTTGTCTCCTGAGTGTGCTGCCATCAGCTCCACTCTCTTAGAGCTTGTTTTCCATTCTGCTGAGGCCAGGCCAGCCCTGCAATCCCATTCTTTCCATCACTATGAGGAGCCTGTGCTTGTTTGAGGCTTTCTCTCCCTCTTGCATCCAGAGTGTCTGTCACAGGGCACCAATGCATTGTCTCACAGCTCTAGGTCTTTTTGCTTGGGGTTTTTTTTTTTTTTCAGTTCTGGAGGTTTGTGGGGCCTGCGGACAGGATCTTGGCACGGAGGAGCTGTGGGAGAAGGTGCTGCAGGAGGTAACCGTGGAGGAGCTGCAGGCACCTCTGCACCGCCTCGGGGCCCTGCAAGCAGCCTGGTGGCTGGCAGCCAGCCAGCTGGGAAGTGTTACTGGCCTCTTCCAGCTCCTGAGCACTGCTGAGGTAACTGGGCACAGGCAGATGCCAGCAGAGCTGGCATAAATACTGTGTTTGTCATAAAACTCACTCTGCAAAATGTTGTTGTGGCACTTGGACAGCTGAACCCATCGGTGCTGCCCAGTCAGCATGACTAATCTGCCCCGTGGCATCCCAGCACAGCCTGATGGCCCTGAGAGTGCTAATGGATCCCAGAATATTCTGCCTGTGTGGACCCTGGATCTCTGTGTGTCAGACAGGAGACTTGGGCAGGCTGGAAGAGGTCTGCAGATGGACTTGCAGACTCTGTAGGGAACAGCAGTGGGATGCAGAACCTTCCCTGCTGATGGGTCCTGTCTTTCTGAATGCACTCCAGCAGCTCTGCTGCATGCCAGGAGGCCCTGGAGGTGCACCCCACTCTGAGGTGGGGAGGTGCTGCCCCAGGCCAGGCAGGAATCACTGCAGTAAGGGGGTTGTTGCTGAAGGGAACAGATGGTAGGACATTGCTCCCCAGTCTGCTCCCACTGCAGGGAGCAGTGTTGAGTGGTTTGGTGGGACCTGTTTCTCTGTGCACTTGGACCAGTGTTTCCTGCATCCCTTCAGCATTCCCTGCTGTCTCTGTGCCTTCACAGGACCCAGGAAGAGCTCACTGCAGTGAAGGGCAGAACAAACTCCTCTCCATGATCAAGGCATGGCGGGTCCCTCCTGAGGGGGCCTCCCTGCCCCTTGTACAAAGCGCCAAGGACTTGAAGGAAATCCTCTGCACTGCAGCAGCCTTCCTGCAAGGTTTGTGGGGGGCAGGAACTCAGGCCAGCACAGTCTCCTGCTGCTCTGTCCCAGGACCACTTTCCCTGCCCTTATCCTGGTTTCTCTTCCCAAGCAAACTGGCCCTTGGGGTTTTTCGGGCTGTTCCTTTGGGAGAGGCTCTGGGCTGAGCCTCTGAATCTCAGCCTTTACATTCCATATTCAAAAAGCTTCCCTGCTTTTCCCCCGCTCATCCTTTCTCTGCACTATCACAGGGTTCCTCTGCCTGTCTGTGACTGTAGGGGAGGTGTCTGGGCCCTGCAGTGACCTTAAAGCAGAAAGCTGGCAGGGAATTTATGAAGATTTTCTTTTCTTCTGGAACTTGTCTTGTTGCAAGCATGTTGATCCTGTCAGACTGTGGTGCTGCAAGAGCCACACAAAGCTGTTGTGAGGCTTTCTAGCCCAGTGTCACAGCAAGCAGTGCATCTCCTCTGGCTGCTGTGTTCCACCCTGGATGTTTTCTCTCCTTTACTGTTTTTGACAACACCAGCAGCTCCAGGGACAGCCAGCCCTGCTTTGCTGTGCTTGGGCTCCTACAGGGCCTTCCTGCCAGGAGGCAGGGCAGGAGCTCTGGCCCACAGAGCTGGAGCCAATAGTCAAGGGTCGTACCAGCACTTCCAGCAGGGAAGTGGCAGATGTGAGTGTGGTGCTGCTGTGTGAGAGCAGCCTCAGAGGGCAGCCTGAAAAGAAGACTGAAGAAAAGGCAAATAACAAGTTGTAATAAATATTAATTAATTGATATCCCAAAGCATCCTGCTGGGAAATGACCCAGATGTGCTAAAAAAAATCTGAAGTTCTGTGTGTGCTTCCCTATCTGCACTGCTGTCATTGTGGAGGAATGTGGAGGTGAACCTGCCCAGCACATGCCCCTGTCCTTGTTCTGGGCCAAACAAAACATGTTGGGCTTGGAAGCTGCTGTTATTTCTGCTGGACATTTCCACTGAGTAGCTTGTTCTCTTGCAAAAGCACTAAAGCAAAGATGTCAGCTTGGCACTGTCAGGCTGTGCATCAGGCAAATCCCTATGGCTCTGGGAAGAAAAGGGCACCACACTTGTTTGGGGCCAGGTGGGACACAATAGTGAGCCACAGAGCCAATATGTTGGGTCTGTCCTAGGGCTGCAGGAGCTGGAGGCTGGGAACTTCCCCACTGCCCTCTCCCTCCTTCAGGAAGCTGCAGGAGGATTCTGCTCCAAGAATGTCCTGGCCCAGATCTACACCTGCCTCGGCTGCTGTGCTCAGCGAATGGTAATGACAGCAAAGAGGGGAAAGGCAGCTGTGGGGTGGGGAGGCTCAGGCTCACAATGCCTCTGTGTGATCCAAGGCCTCTCAGGGAGGGAAGACCTTGAGCAGAAGTTGCCCTTGTGGCCCCAGCCTCCTTGGACAGGCTGCAAAATCCATGACAAGATTTTGGCTGATTGCAAAGTGTTGCTGCAGAGGGAGAAGCTCAAAAACCAACCTGAGGAGTGCTGCCTTTGGCTAAATTGCTGCCCTGTTTAGTGGGGATCTCTTGGGGAAGCAGAGCGAGAATTTGGATCCTACCAAACACTAGAGACTTCAGCAGGATGTGCTTTCAACATGCATGTCTTCCCATCCACCTAGGGCAAGCCTCAGACAGCCCTTCAGCACCTGAAGTGGGCCCTCCAGGTAGATTTCCAGTGCCTTCCTGCCCTGTCCCACGTGGCAGCAGTGTACCATGAACTGGGAGAGACCGATGCAGAGCTGCAGGCCCTGACCCTACTCTACGAGGTTTGTCTGGTTCCTGTAGTTCTGGGATGAGTTTTGCTGGAATGAGTCTCCCAGCAGAGCCTGCACGGAGCTTCAAAAGCAGCTTCTTCCTTTTGGGGGCTGCTTGACCCTGGAGGGAGTCCCCAAAATAGCACAGTGCTGCCTTCAGCGAGTGGGCAGGAAGGAGTCCAGCAAGATCTGAAATTCCTGTCAGCACCACGTTTGGATGTGGCAAGACCTTGGGTCCTAGTTCATGTTTGTGGTGGCTTGGGAGGTTAAACTCTCAGGTCAGAAAGTATCAATCTCTTAGTAAAGTATGCAATAGTACAGAGACTTTTAAGGGCAGATTTTGGCTGCAGTGAGGCAGAGTGCATTAGCTGGGTGAAGCTGCCTGGGAGAGGTCACAGCAGTAGACCCTGAATTATCTCTTCAGCTGTTTGAAAACTGTCAGATACATACAGAGAGGAGAGGGAACTCTCTCCTTACAAATGGTCTAACTAGGTCTGAGGCTGTAATGGGAGATGGTGTTCCAGGCAGCTCAGCTAAAAACCCGAGGTGATCTGGGTGATCTTGCAAATCTCTTGGTGCCATGTGGAGAACAGAAGTTTGCCTGCCCCTGTGTGATCCTCATGGCTCTTGCTGGAAGCCACTGTGAGAACAATGTGGTTGTGCTTGTGAAGTGCAGCACTTCTGCTCGCCTGTGTGCATCTCCAGATGTCAGAAGCAACAAAAGATTGCAGCTGCCTGAGACTTGACCAGTGTGATGTTGATCATCTTTTCTGTTCCTGTTTCACAGGCTTTGGGAAAAACCCCTCCAGCAGCTGCTTCCTCTAGTCCCCATTTTCTAATGCGAACAGAGCTGCTTGTCCGCACACCAGTGCTCCCTTCCCTCCTTCGCCATCGCCATCCCTCTGAAGTGAAGTACCTTCTGGCACAGCGCTGTCTCCAGGATGGGAGGTAACAGTGCCTCTGCTCTGCTTGCACCACGCTGCTGGTCTGGGCTCTGCAGTTTTCCCTGTGCTCCTGGAAATGGCCCAGTTCAGTGCTGCTGTTGTAGGCCTGCTCAAAGCATGGAGAGTGTGGTGCAGGGGGAGAGACTGCGGGCTGGCAGTCCAGGTTTCACCTGGCTGATGGCACTTCTCCTTCCACCACATGCCCTGTTCCTGTTGCAGGGTGGATGATGCAGTGGAACATTACCTGGATTTTCTGTCCCTCCTTCAGGAGGGGCTGCAGCAGCAGGTAGGTGTCCTGGTAAAGAGCTCCCTTGGTGACTTGGAGGATGAGGGTTGGAGGGATCCAAACCCAGTCCCAAGGGCTGGGCCCAGGCATCAGCCCTGCACTCCAGGCTTCAGTGTCTGGTTTGAGATGTGAAGGACATGAGATAGGGGCTGATGTAAAGGAAATGAAGTGGGGGCTGGCATTCCCGACCTGTGGCATGTCTGCCTTTGGATTCACACCAGAGAGCACTCACCACTGCTGTTTGGAGAGACAGCTTCCCCTTCCCTCTGGGGAGCAGCTGTCAGCTGATTTTGGATGTCCTCCACTTCCAGAGTAAGGACTTGGTGCCTTGACTCTATGAGATGTGAGTGCTTTCCATTCTGCCTGCTCCACCAGGCTCCAGTGACTGTGGGAGAGGCCTTGAGCTTTGCTGGGCAGCAGTTCCATGTTCCAGGATGCAAAGAGTCCTGCTGCTTGGCAGAGAACTCTGCACTTCTGCAGCACTGATGTCACTTTTGCTCCACAGGTGCCCCTGGATGGTAGCTCAGCTCTGCCCAGGATCCCAGAGGTGTTCCTGGAAGCAGCATCTGCCTTGGAGCAGGCTGGGAGGCACCAGGATGCCATAACTGTGTGTGAGGAGGTCATCAGCCGGACAACTGACCTCATTCCACGGGTGTTACGAGTGGAGGAGAGGCTGGAGCAGCCGGATTCCTCGTTGCCAGGGGCAGAACTGGCAGGTGCACTCCTGTCCCAGAAGAAGGAGAGCCTGTGCTGCCTTGCCTGGAGAGCAGCTGGATACCTGCACCAGGGCTGGGCATGGGCCAGGCTGGGAGAGAGCAAGGAAGCTGTAACACAGTTCAGCAGGTGATAAAGCCTCCCCAGCAGGCAGCAGTGGATGGTGGGGCAAGGGCAGGACACAGCCTGGCACTGGAGCTGCCCTGACAACTTGGCACTCCTGAGAGCCCAGGAGTGGCTCCAAAGCTCCTCTGGCCTCCCACCCACAGGTGCCTCAGTGATCTCCTACGCGTCCAGCTTCATGGGTCTGGCATCAAATGGACAGGTAGGACACCACACAAGCAGCACACGCGTGGGGCCTTGATGGGGTCAGGATCTTGTGCTTGGCAGCAGCAGGTACAGGGGCAAGGCGGTGGGCATCACTCTGGCAAGAGGCAGTTGTCCCAGGGTGCAAAGCTCGGGGCATGCCGAAGCCTCTGAAGAGACTGGCTGTTGTTTTTTGGAGCAGAGTTTGGCCTTGGCTCTGCCTCCTTCACTGCCTAGGTAGCAGTTAAAGGGGCTGTGAACTGGAAAGCTTCCTCCAGTTCAGTTTTTGGGGAAAAGATACATGCCAGTGGTGCAAAGGGACAGCCAAAGGCCAGGCTGCTGCTGAGGCTACTGTTCACAGGCATGTAACATTCTGGGCTCTTGGCATTCTTCACTCTCCCCCTGTGCTGCCTGCCGACCTCTTCCGGCCTGGCAGAGAGGCTGAGCTTTGCCATGTGTCTCCAGAGCTGGAGGATGAGCAGCCCACAGTAAATGCTTGGCCTGTCCTGACTGCTAACCTGGCTCAGCCTGCTGGGAACAGGGGAGAGAAGGTCTGGAGGATGCTGTCTCCAGGTGTGTGTGTCTTCCTGTGGCAGAGAATCTCCAGCCAGAAGTGGAGGTGCTCCAGAAGATCAGGTTGCTCTCTCTCATTGGGCGAGGTACGCAGTTCCTGGAGCTGGGGAGGAACAAAGAAGCCCTGTTGGATTTCCAGCACAGCTTGCAGATCTCACCAGGTAACAGGCTCATTTTGGTGAGGAACTCAAGGGATTTCCACAAATTTGTCCTGGGCTGCTTTGCTGTCTTCAGCAGGAAGTTCTTATGCTTTATACCACATTTATTCAGGTGTCAAGGACAACAGTAGGGCCACTAGCAATATTACATACTAGAGATCCTTCTGTGGGGCCTGATCAGCTCACTGCCATGGAGAAACAGACCAAAACTATTGTCAGAGGAGTATTTCAGAACCCTGACAACAATTTGTTCCCTCAGAGAGCTTGGAAACTTCCAGCTTCAACCCCAGCTCGGCAGCAGCAGGTATAGGAGCTGCTCCTCACCTGAGGAAGCAGCATGTCCATGCCTGGCAGTACAGAGGCCTGCAAAGGGAGCATTCATGTCTTGAGCTCAGCCAAGGCATGGCTAGTGCTGCTGACAGGGCTGCTCTCTCCTGTTGAGTGCTCTGACATGCTGAAGAGGTGTGAGCTTCACCAGGATCTGTCAGACCTGCTGGTCCCAGTCCTGCCCGTGGCTGCTCCCTCTGGGGGTGCAGACGTGCCTGCAAGGAGAACCTCAGTCTGTGTGCAGAGAGAGGTGTGGCAGGCTGTGCCCCAGGGCTGATGCCATCTGCCTTGGCTGCCAGCCCTGGGGTTAATTAGAGCCCGTGACACAGCCAGGACAGCCTCCTCCCCATTACACCACCTCTCCTTACACTCATTGCCCTCGTCTGGCTTCTGAGCCTCTTTTGTAATACCCTGCAACCCACAGCAGTGCTGAGGACCTGCTCCTCCTCTGCTGAGGGCTGATCCTCCTTCCTGTCTTGCAGGTGACCCAGCCGCTGCCTCCTACCTGGTGCAGGCCTTGTGGAAGCTGAACCGAAAGCAGGAGGCGGCTGCTCAGTGGCAGAGGCTCTCCCAGAGCTCCCCTGGAGAGGATGGGCAGCAGCAAGGGCAGGGGAGGTGTGTAGAGGGCTGGGTGAGGTCTGAGCAGTGCAGTCTGGCAGGCTGTGAGGGCAGTTCAGGTGTCTGAGGAGCTTCCCCTGATGAGTGCTCCGAGGGGCTGTGGCCCTGCTGGGACCCCCTGGGCACAGGAGAGCTGACACAGAGCAGATGGGCAGGGCAGAGAGGGGGGACCTCAGAACAAATGTGTTAGGGCATGGCAAAGCCATGCTGCGCTCCTCACTGCTGCCCTGCTCCCTTCCCTTTCAGGCCCCTCCCTTTGTACCTGGCTGCGTGTCTGGAGCAGGCAGCGTTCCCTGACAGTGAGCCTCTTGCCAGAAGCATCCAGGATTACCTCGGGACAGCAGCCCAGGACACCTCAAGCTGACCTGCTGAGGTCTCCCTGCACTTGGCTGGCACAAGGCCTTTAAGGACTCCTTCAAGGCTCAGGACTACTCTGTGATGAAGCAAAGGACTGAAACAGAATAGATCTCCTTTCCTAATAAAAAAAACGCAGCTCTGTTTAGCTTTGGGTTTTCCCATGCTCTTTTTCCAGAGCGAAATGTTGCAGTCGTGGCCTTGACACTGCCTCCAGCTACTGAGAGCTGTGTGCCCTGGGTGTGTGAGAGATCAAGGGCAGAGGTGCCTTCATCCTCTGTGCCCCGTGCCTGGTGGGGCTGGCTCTGCACTCGGGCTGCCCTGTCTGTGCTTGTGTGGCAGCTCCTTGCTCGGTCGCTGTGCTCTGGAGCCCAGAGGAGTGGTTTTGTCTGAGGTGCACGCCTCTGGTGTCAGAATTTCACAATGCTGCACCAGCAGCAGGGTCCAGACCCACACCCATGTCCCTGAGGGTCGGTGCCAAGGCCAGCACTGCAGGCCCCCACCCTCAGGGGTGAAGGAGCACGTTCCTGCCCTGTGGCTGGTGGAGCTTCTCTGGGATGAGGAAGCTGCCCTGACTCCATTACCCAAGCCTTTGGCAAGCCTTGCCTCCCACAAGAGGGAAGGGAGTTTGGGAGCTGCAAGGCCAAGGAGTGAGGGGAGAGGAGAGGGCATGACAGAACTCTGTGAGGCAGGGGCTCCTGCAGCCTCCTGGGAATGCTGGAGGGACAGACAGGGGCTTTGGGTGGGCTCTGACCTGCAGTTCCTTCAGGAAAGCACCTTGGCATAGCCTGGGCTGCATCCAGAGCCCCGTGGGCAGCAGGGCAGGGAGGGGATTCTGCCCCTCTGCTCTGCTCTGCTGACACCCACCTGGAGCACTGCATCCAGAGCTGGGCTCCAGCACAGCAGGGACAGGGACCTGCTGCAGTGAGCCCAGAGGAGGCCACCAAGGTGATCAGAGGGCTGGAGTGAGGAAAGGCTGAGAGCTGGAATCGTTCAGCCTGGAAAAGGCCCCAGGATTTCCGTCCTTCAAGGGGCCCCAGCAGCGCTGGAGAGGGACTTGTGACAAGGACATAAAGCGACTGGACCAGGGATAACCGTTTCAAACTAGCAGAGGACACGGTGAGATGCGGTACCAGGGAGCAATTTTTCCCTGTGAGGGTGCTGAGGGCCGGCACGGGTTGCCCAAAGAAGCTGCGGCTGCCCCTGGCTCACTGGGAGCGTTCGAGGCCGGGCTGGCTGGGGCTGTGAGCGGCCGGGCAGGACCGGGCCGGGGCGGGCGGGGCAGGGGAAGGCCAGGCCGGGCAGGAGAGAGGATGGCAGCGGATGGCAGCGGATGGCAGCGGATGGCCCGGCAGGGCGGGCCCGGCCCCTCGCTGAGGCCGCGGCCATTCCCTCACCCCGAGCGGGAACGAGGCCGCCGCCAGTGGCGGGAAGAGGCGCGCGCGCGCGCCACGCCCCTCCCCATTGGTCCTGCTCTGCGGAGCCGCCCAATCAGCGGCGGCTGTGGAGGCGGGACTTCCCTCCCGCATGTTCCCGTCGGTGGCTCTTCGCCATTGGCCGCGCGGCAGCTGTCGCTCGAAGGGAGGGCCGCGCTGCGATTGGCTGCAGGAAGTGGCGCCTGGCTGGTGACGATTGGCCAGGGCGCACAGAGGGGCGCGGCTCAGGCGGAGCCCTCGGTCTTTTTTTTCTCTCTCTCCCATTGGCCGAGACCGCGGCCGGCCGGAATTTCCGATTGGCCAGCGCACGCTGTTGCTAGGCAGGCGAGGCGGCGTGGGCGGGGCTCCCCTCGCCGATGAGTCGGCGCTGAGGCTCAAGCAGCGCGGACGCCCCGAACCCTCCGCCCGCCGCCCGCGACCCCCGCGACCCTCCGGACTCCCCGCCCGCCCCGAGGAGCCGCCGTCCGCCGCCCCTCTCCCCCTCCCCGCAGCGCCATGGCCTCGGGATCCGAGTAAGTGCGGGCCCCGCCGCCTCCCCGCGGCCTAGGCCCCGCCGCGGCCTGGGCCCGCTCCGGCCTGCCCGCCTCACCCGGGGCGGCCCGCGGGGGCCCGCGGCCGCGGAGCGCTTTGTTTTCTGCGCCCGGCCCGGGCTCCTTGTGCTCGCAGCGGCCCTGCAGCCGCGGCTGGCGAGGCACTCGGCGCTGGCCCAGGCAGACATGTTGTGGCGGGCATGGCCGAGGCCATCGGCGCTGTTTCCGTCTCGGGTGTCTTGGCTCGCTCCTGCTGGCTCTGCTCGGTTTCAGGCTGAGGATCGTCTGCCGTGCTCCCCAGGAGTGAGCAGCAGTCTCCGCACGCAGCCCCACGTGCATTTTGAGCGGAGTGAAATAGAACCCAAAAATAAATTTTCCCAACCCAGAAATACCCAAAGTGGCTTTTTGACTTCCCTAGAGGCACTTTTGGTCCAGTTTAGTGTATTTTGGTGTTCTTTGAGTATGTTTTCTTTTTTTTTTAACACCTCCTGGAGTCCGAAGCTGCTTGGCCCTGAGGGGTCAGTTCCAGCAAAGTGTGCCAGGCATCCCGTGCCTGCCCTGGAAGGGACATTCCCAGACCCCACTTGTGCAGCTGGGCGAGGTTAACCGTGTTTTCAAAAAGGGATTTCTACTTCAGCAAAGTTTTTCTCACCCACGCGGGAAGCAGGAAAAGTTAGTTAGCAGCTGGAACACAGTTACTTTTTAGATGCCATTTTTTGTCACAGCTGCTGGCAGCCATCTTGCTGAAGCGAGCCTCAGCATGGCAAGGAGCATTCCAAAAGCTAAGGGAGTGTGGTTTCTGAAGGGATCCCCGTTTTCCTCTCCCAGCCTGTCTGAAACAGTGTTGAAAACTTGGCTTCTCCACAATGTGTCTAAACTCACCCCTGGGTTCTCTTGCTTCAGTGTCTGTAGTCACCGCAGATACTTCAGATACTTCACTTGGGGATAAAAATGCTTTGTGGCTTTATGTTTTTTCCTTTAATACCTACCTGGGAAAAGCGGTTTAGCTGTAAGTCAGATGTTCAGATTGGTAGGAAATTGCTCACGGGTTTTATCTGGGGAGTGATTTCACAAGCATGGTGGTGAAAAGTCACTGCAGTGTGCAGAAGACGTGGCTGATTTCACTTTCGGTACTGCAGCTGGAATCTCTCTGGGAAGTGGCTTTTTCCTCATTTTTGGCACGGACTCGAAGGAAGAGCTTGTTTCCTTACTTTAGCGGGGGCTTTGGAGGTTGGTTATCATTGTCAGAAGGATCACTGGTTGGTAACGACTTCCTGCCCTTGTTCTTCATGCCCTGCCCTGTGGTGCCTCTGGGCACTATCAGCTGTTGAACCAGGGAAGCTCTGACACAGAGGGAAGCCACCGACTGGTGTAATTAAGTCCATGAAGCTGTGCCAGGGGAGGCTGCGGCTGGATATCAGGAAAAGGTTTATCCTGAAGGTGGTCAGTGACTGGAACAGGCTCCCCAGGGAAGTGGTCACAGCACCAAGCCTGGCAGAGTTCAGGAATCATTCGGACAATGATCTCGGGTACTTGGTGTGATTGTCGGGGCTGTCCTGTGCAGGGCCAGGAGTTGGTTGGTAATCCTGATGTGTCCCTTCTAGCTCGGATTATTCTGTGATTCTGTAAGCTGTAGAAAGTCCCCCTGGTCCTCCCATGTGTGAAATGAGGCTGTTGAGCTGCTTTACTGACAGGGAAAAGGAGGCTGAGGGAACCTGTTAATGGCTGGCCTTTAGGGCTAATACATATTAGCTTCAGCTCTATAGATGTCTTGCACTTTATGTGCAAGCTTGGCCATTTGCTGTGCTGGTGATTGTGTCCTCACTTCTGGCCTCTGTCTAGGAGCAGCTTAATACAGACATTGAATTACCTTTTAATTCCAAAACAGCTCTGAAGCTACGTTTTGTGTTCTGTTTGTCTCTTTGTTAAGTCAGGGAAAGAAAGGGAAAGCGTGTGAGGGAGCTGACAAACTGGGGAGGTCACCGAGGTGATGTGGAGGGTTTCCACCAGGCTGTCTCTACCAGGAGCTCATCAGGGAGATTCAAAAATTACCTGGGTTAGCTTTCTGTCCCTGGCCTTTCCCAAAGTTTCCTGGCAGGAGAGAGTCACAACCCACACCTTAGGCTTTCCTGCTGGGTATTTTGTTTGTGCTCTCCTCCCCACAAATCTTGGGGTTTGTCTGAGTGTGACTGAGGTGCACAGTCTCTTTTGCCCTGTTATTTCACCTGCAGCATGAGGAACCCCTGGAGAGAGGCAGTGAGGGCAAATAGGGGTGGTAGCAATATTGTAAATGGCTGCTGAAAGATGGGTAGTGCTTGTCTGTCTAAACCTCACCCATGTCTGCAGGAGAAATAACATCATTTCCGTGCCTAGGTGACGTGTAATTTTGTAGCAGCTTTGTTTTTTCCTCTGCAGACCCGTGGGGTCAGAGCACTGAAGCTGGCCCTGCGCATTTAGCTCCCTGGATGCTCTTTCTTGTGCACTTTTATTCCATTTTTAATGGCTCCAGTCCTTTTTGATCACTCTTAAATGCATCTGATATTGATCCAGCCCTCAGTTCTTAGGGAAGTGTAGGTTCAGTTCTTCCATACTAAAACTTTTTTCTCTTATTTAGCAGAACCAAGTGGGTTCTTGCTGTGTTTTTCTGCACTGCTGTGTGTCAGGTGCTATCCAAACTTTCTCTCCAGTTTTTTGCAGCTTTTGTTTTGTGTAGAGTGTTCCTTGAAAAGCTTCCAATTGTTAACCAGTTCCTCTACTGTTTGTTTTTGATCTGGTGTCCCAGGCTAGTTTTTTGGCTGTGGTAGCAGTCCCTGCACCCCAAGGGACAGACAGTTTCAGCAGCATTTCACATAGCCAAAGTCTGGCAGTGGTTTCTTATCAAAAGGCCTTGGGATCTGCATTTTGTGTGCAGAGGGAGGAGTTACAGTCACACTCTGGATAACCCAAATAATGAGTATTGTGTCTCCTGGTGTCCCTTAGCTGAAATCTTGAAATCTGTGTGCTGGGTTAGTTTCCAGTGTCCAGGAGCTAAAGAGGAGACAAAGTCCTTACCAAGTAGGTTGTTGGTTTTTATGCACTGTTTAACCATAATCTGCCCTGATAATGTATTTGTTCAGTTTACTTATTGCTCTCCCAGTTTTCCTGGAAATTTCAAGCTTTTTAGGACTCGCAACAAT